GGAGTATTAGAGGGTTTAGACCCGAGCTTTCCTGCTTCTTTGAGAAGATCAAGAACATATTTCCTCTGGCTGATAAAGATTCCTTTGCTCGAATGAGCTACTTCTATCCCTAGGAAATATCTCAGTTTCCCAAGGTCTTTGACTTCAAACTCAGAGGCAAGCCGTGTTTGCAGAATCTGTCTCTCCACAAAATCATCACCTGTGATAATAATATCATCAACATATACAAGGAGCACAGTAAGCTTCCCATTTTGGGAGTGCTTGAAAAAAAGAGTGTGATCTCCTTGTCTTTGTTTATATCCTAAGGTTATCATAACCTTAGTAAACTTTCCAAACCAGGCACAAGGTGACTGCTTCAATCCATACAAGGCCTTTTTTAATTTACAAACTTTATTTTCTCCCTTCACAGAATCAAAACCAGGCGGAATTTCCATGTAGACTTCTTCTTCTAACTCACCATTGAGGAAAGCATTCTTCACATCAAATTGGTTTATATCCCAATTGTAATGGGCAGCAAGGGATAACAAAACTCTCACCGTATTCATCTTTGCAACTGGAGCAAATGTTTCTTCATAATCAATGCCATAGGTTTGAGAGTAACCTTTGGCAACTAATCGAGCTTTGTATCTCTCAAGAGTTCCATCAGAATTATATTTCAGGGCATAAACCCATCTGCACCCTACTGCTTTCTTTCCAGTAGGTCTATCAATAACCTCCCATGTTTTATTTTTCTCCAATGCATTCATCTCCTCTTGCATGGCTTGAGCCCAATTCCCATCTTTCAAGGCTTCATGTACTGATTTTGGGATTGCAATAGAGTCTAGTGCTTAAACAAAGCTTTTGTGTTGCACAGACAGATTAGCAGAGGAAACAAAATGGGAGATAGGGTATTGAGTACAAAATGAACAAGATTTCTTGGGACATGATCTTTTTCCTTTTCTAAGAGCAATGGATAAATCATCAGAATCAGTAGTAATGGGTAAGTCATCAGAAGTATCATGATCAGAAATATGACATTCAGGACTTACCAGTGGTTCAGACGATTGAGGTTGCTGCTGAGACAATGTGGGCTGTGTATCAGTCATAGGAGGATCAGTCACAAGAGGATCAGACATAGACATATTGGGAACAGGAACAAGAGGAAGAGACACTGACCCAGGTGAAGGAGTAGACACTGAAGATTCAAATTCAAAGAAGGAAGGTGATGAGTCTTTTACTGAATTATTCTCCCCCTGAAGATGAGAACCTTGGAAAAAGGACTCAGATTCCTGAAATGTAACATCCATAGAAACAAAAAATTTCCGACTACCAGGGTGATAACACTTGTAGCCCTTCTTATCAGGAGCATATCCAAGGAAGACACATTTAAGAGCCCTAGGATCCAACTTACTGCGATGCTGTTTATGAATATGAACAAAGACAACACAGCTAAACACTCGAGGATGAAGACTTTGCAAAGTTGGAACAGAAGGAAAAAAAGAAGTCATGGAGTGAATAGTACTTACATGATCGAGAACCCGAGTGGGTAGACGGTTGATCAAGAACGCTGCAGTAAGAATGGCATCTCCCCAATAGCATTTGGGTACATGTGTTTGAAACAGTAAGGCACGAGCAACTTCAAGAAGGTGACGATTTTTTCTTTCAGCAACCCCATTTTGTTGAGGGGTGTCTACATAAGTAAGTTCATGAATCATACCTTGATTTCGTATAAATTGGGAAAAACTGTGATTAACATATTCAGTACCATGACCTGTTCTTAGTCTCTTGATTTTTCTACCAAATAGGGTCTCAACCATTTTATAAAATTGAAAGAACAGATGTGGTACCTCAAACTTTTCATGCATTAAGTAAACCCAAGTTACATGAGTGCAATCATCAATAAAAGAAACAAACCATCTATTTCCAGAAGCATGAGGGACTTTAGAAGGACCCCAAACATCAGAATGAATAAGATCAAAAGGTTCAACACTCTTAGTACTACTAGAAGGAAAAGACACACGATGATGCTTAGCAAACTCACAAACATCACAATGAAAAGACTCAACAGGCTTAGATAAAAACAATGACGGAAATAAAGACTTGAGTAAACCAAATGGAGGATGTCCCAAGCGCTTATGATGAAGCCAAATCAAAGAATCAGCAGTTGATTGACCATGAGACATCAAGATGTGATCTGTTACTTTATTTGCGGGAGATTGTGACACCAGATAGTATAACCCACCTTGCTCTTTAGCATTACCAATCGTCTTCCCCGTGGCGAGATCCTGAAAAACACAATGGGTAGAGAAGAAGGTTACAGTACAATTCAGATCTTTTGTAATTTTATGAATAGAAAGAAGATTCGTGGAGAGTTTAGGAACATGAAGAGCATCTTTATGATGTAAGGACTGCTGTAAGTTTATGTCACCAGAACCCGCAACTGATGTATGTGAACCATCAGCTATGGCTATAGTATGAGTTCCAATGGTAGGATGATAAGAAGCAAATGAGTCAGCACAACAAGCCATATGATCAGTAGCACCAGAATCAACAACCCAAGAATGTTTCAAATCATTACATGAAGAAAGGAAAGAATGAGTTTTGGGGCTCATACCAGTCAAAGCCAAAGCACTAGTATCAGATGGCTTACTCAGATAATCAAGGATGGTTCGGAGCCGTTCTAACTCATCTAGACGAAATGCAGGTTGGGTCTCATTAGGTGCAGGAGTTATTCCAAAGGAAGTAAAATGCGCTTGACCACGCATCCTTGCCATCTTTTCTAAGACAGTTTGCTTTCCATGGAGGTGAAAGCATAAATCCTTGATATGACCTGTTCTTTTTCAATAAGAACACCATCGATCATCTCTCTTAGGTTTAGAAGATGCACCATCATAAAACTTTGTAAAGGAACTCCTTTGAGAAGAGGCCATACTGCACAAAAAACAGTCAACGAAAAAGGCTCTAAGAAGCCAAAAAATTCGAAAAAAATACCAAACGATGTCCGATCTGAGAAAACAACACAGATCCAGAAAGAGAACAAGGAGACGAGAAGAATGGTGGTGGTCCGGTCCAGAAACAACGCCGGACGCGCTTCCACGCGCCGGAGAAAGCAGCTGCGCGTGGGCTTCACTCTCGGACAAAGAGGCGGCGCGTGAGAACGCGTGGCAAGGCTTTTCCGGCTGAAATTTTTCCGGTGTGGTCGTCCGGTGAGCGCGCACCTGTCTGTGGGTGGTTGCGGTTGAAAAGTCACCGGAAAGGGTTCTAAACGGTGAAGACAGAACTGGTTGAAGGCGGTCGGAGGTGTTTGGGTCGTTTGTGGCGGAGGAACGTTGTGTAGAATGATAGAACGAAAAAAAAAGAAGGTCAACAGTGGTCCCCTTGGTCCAAAAGGTCTCCGGAAAAAAATTTCCGGTGGCGGCTGATGGCGGCAAGAGGCAAAGAAATTAGGGTTTTGTAAAAAAAAAGACAATAGGCGCGGAAGCAGAGCCCTCAGGATCGAGAGCTCTGATACCAACTTGAAAAAGGGTTATGAAATATTATTGATTTTTTTTATTTGAATCTGTACATAGGGGTCTCTATTTATAAAGACTTCTTGACCTAATGGGTTTGGCCCAATATACAAGTAACAGACTAAATAAATACAAATAAATGACTACATAATTACTATTTACAACACCCAAGCTGCCAGTTAAAGGTCTTTACGCTACTTTCTCAGATCCTTGTAGTATGCAGAGTGAGACTCCTGAGCAGTTGAAAGCTATCCGGAAATGGATGGTCCCTCAAAGAATTAGATTATTTCCATAAAAGGTGGGGCATGATAAGCTGCCAACTAATAGTAGATTAAATAAAATCCATTTGGGTGCTTCAACTTGCCCAGTGTGCAATCAAGGGGATAAAAGTACCTTGCATTTATTAAGAGACTGCTCAACAATCCAAAATATTTGGATCATGTTGTCTCCTCATTTGACTGTTTCATCTTTTTTGTATATGAATTTGCAGGATTGGTTAATGGAAAACTTAAAACAATTATCTATATGTTGTTTCGGCATGCCTTGGGCGCTGATATTTGGTGTTACCTGCTGGAAAGCTTAGACTTAGAGAAACGAACTTCTTCACGCTGCTGCAGGAAGAATAGAAAACATGTACAAGCTGAAGGTAATCACATCGTATGCTAAGGAGGTGTTTTCAACTTGTGAAACAGATACCAAGGGAATTTGTGGCAACACCCCACCAGTGAATATGATTAGGTGGGTGCCTCCTGAGTATAGGTGGATCAAAATTAATACTGATAGGACTTTTAGAGGTAACCCTGATAGAGCTGCATGTGGTGGCCTGATTTGAGGTCCGAACGGTAAGTGGCCTTTCTCTTATAGGATGAGATATTGCAATGCTATTACTGTTGAATTGTGGAGAATTCTGAAAGAGCTGGAGAGAGCTTGAGAAGGTGGATGAAAGAAAATTATTTTAGAAAATGATTCAGCTTATGATACCACTCTACTCATCAAGTCAGGTGATGCATCCTGTGAGTCTCACTTAGTGACTTATATACAAAATTGGTCTATTCGACTGTTGCATACATATAAAGAAGGTAATGCTTGCACGAATTGGTTACTTAATCTTCCGCTCGAGAATTTGGATAAAGAAGACTTTATTTTATTTCAATTTCACCCCGTGAGATTATGTGGTTATATTTCTCTGATTTTAACTCTATTTACTTGGTTAGATATTCTCTGATGTAATTTTATGCTTATTTTCTGTCTGGGGAAAATATTTAATATGCTGCTCCAGGTCCATCTATGATTCAGTGGTCCAAGCCAATAAAACTTAAATATTTTCTGACTTACTTGTGTGGAGGAGAAAGAAATTTTATTTTATTTTTACAAGTGACAGCTCCTCAATAGAAGAAATAAATGTGCTAGAACTACTACAAATGTTCTCGTATATGGGGCATAGCCCCCTTCACAAAAACAATATATATTATTTTAAAATGAAGATGCATATATAAAAAATTGCCTCTAAAAAGGTGGGTGCCCTTCTTACCCGTAATGGCTTTATGCCGATTCGCCTATTCTCCTGGCGCTACATTTCGTTTCCCGAAATACGCTTCCAAATACCTTAAATTCTCTTCGTTGCCACGCAGTTCTTCATTCGCAACGATGGAAGCTCCTCCAGAAGGTTACCGCAGAAACGTTGGTATCTGTCTCATCAATAATGAAAAAAAGGCACAACCTCTCTCTCTCTCTCTCACACACACACACTCTTTTTCTCTGTCTCTGTCTTCACTTTTCACCAAAGCTTAATATTAATAATAATGGAACATTTTCCTCTTTTGCAGATTTTCGCGGCTTCAAGGCTAGACAGACCCGATGCTTGGCAAATGCCCCAGGTCATTCATTCTTTTCATACCTTTCTTCTTTTCCTACTATCCCTATCAATTCAGTGTGTTATATATATAACCTATCTTTCTTTTTTTTCAAATTAAAAAAAAAAAAATTTATGTGATGCATGTAGTTATTGAGCATTTAATGAATCAAACCTTAGGCAAGAGTAACTATAGGCTCACTTCTGTTGTAAATAATGCATTAAAGGTAACTAAATAAACAAAGAAAGTAAAAAAGAAATTTAAAGTGCTTATGATTTTATTTTCGTACAATGTATTATTTTTGAGAAGGAATGATATACTATGAGTCTGTAATCATCTTGTTGTGGCATCTTTTAGGGTGGTATTGATGAAGGTGAGGATCCAAGAAATGCAGCTATCAGGGAATTAAGAGAAGAGACAGGAGTTAGTTCAGCAGAAGTGATTGCAGAGGTGCATATTCTAAATTTCTTTACTTGTTATCTCCATACAATTTTTTTTGCACAATTTACATACTCACTCTATACAGGTTGTCGCAATTTATAAGTACCAAATCATATTTCCGTATTCTAATTAATAACTGGTTGATATAATTATAGTTGTTATACTGTTGCATCCCTCCTCCCTTTTAGGATATCCATATCAGCTTATAACACGATTTTAGTGTTTTGTTCGATAACTATATGCATGTATCCTACCTGGTTTATTATTGTTTGTTTAAGAGTCTGTGGAATGAGTGAAGTGGACAAGGCCTTCTGAAGGTGTTATATGTATGGAAACTGTTATAGATTTGATTGGGGTATGATGCTTGAATCATTAAATAGAATTTTTTTAGTTTGTTTTTCCTATCTAATTAAGAGTATACTTTTTCTTGGCTCTCTTTTTTGTTAAGCTTTGATAGTTTCATGAGAGGTTTAATTATTGTGATGAATTGCAGTTTAATTTGAATAATCGATTTGATGTAATGTCACATATTTCTCTGGAGGACCAAAATGGATAATAGACATTTATGCCAAAAACTTTATTGTTCGGTGGAGGTCTATGAATGATTTATTACTCCAATTGAAATCAAAGATCCTTCCCGAGAAAGGAGTCTGCAGCTCTTTTAGTAAAATGTCCTAATAAAACTATGAAATCTCTGTGCATGATCTTTTTCAAAATTAAATTATTACTATAAGGTTTCAAAATTAGAGGGCGAACCGGAGCAGTGGTAAAACTGTTCCTTGTTGTGACTGAAAAGTCACAGGTTCGAATTCGGGAAACAGTTTCTTTGCAATTATTTGCAAGAGTAAGGCTGCGTATAAGGATTGTCCTTACCCCATACTCGCTAGTCGGGTTTAATTGGGGAATTAAGAGACTATAAGGTTTCATAGCCTTTGAAGTGTGTCAAAGAAAATAACCAGCCTCTTTCCCATGCTGCTAGTTGTTCTACAGCTGCATCTAATCATTGTAGTTTGATCTATCAATGTCAATTGATCCATTCACCAATATTTTTAGTTTTTCATTTTGCACAAAATCCAAAATAAAGAAAATTTCCTTTTATTTTCCTATAGTTATAAATGTTCATCTTGGTGGTTTTTTGTTGTTGTAGGTACCTTATTGGTTAACTTATGACTTCCCACCGAAAATCAGGGAGAAATTAAATATTCAGTGGGGATCTGATTGGAAGGGTCAGGCACAGAAATGGTAAACATTTGGATATTGGAAATGCTCAGTCTGGATGGAATAAAACTCATACGAACAGCGCACAACCAAATTATATAATGTTTGACAACCCAAAACTAATCAGATAACAATTTGTAGCCAACGAAGATTTTTTTACCTGAATGCTTTTGTTTTTTTTCCTTTTCAACTATACTTGTGTGTATAAATTTGTGCGTGCAGGGGGAAAGGGTATTGAAATTGGGAAGGCATGGAAGAAGGGATATTTTCTTTGGCTCTGCTAAATAGTGTTTTTGACACTTTGATATACACAGGTTTCTTTTTAAGTTCACTGGGCAAGATCAAGAAATCAATCTTTTGGGTGATGGTACTGAGAAAGCCGAGTTTGGGGAATGGTCATGGATATCACCAGAACAAATAATTGAGCTTGTGAGTATACGTGATTATGATAACATTTTACATACGTGTCCAGAATCAATTCATATGTGGTGTACCATAGACAACATATGACTTGGTTTATCTTCTCCGTGCAGGCAGTGGATTTCAAGAAGCCTGTCTACAAGGAAGCCCTAGCAGTGTTTGGTCCATATCTCCAATAATCTTATTCCTGTTGAAATTGATGTGGCTTCCAAATGACAGTTGCTTTGGATGATTCTGTAGGTGCTTTAAAAATAATGTGTTACAAGACAGATATTCTCTTTTTCTCCTCTTGGCCATAGTTACAAGCGGAGAGTTCAATTTACTGTATTTCTATGCATCTGACCATTCTTTTTCCATGATGAACATGATACATGATTGTTTCGTATCAGAAAGTGTATGGAAATGAATTTTGTGATGACAAACCTGCGAATCCTATGTACCTTTAGGGACACAATAGAAAAAGATTTTGATCAAAAATAAATTTTACAGGAAGTTCTTATTTTCTGTGTACAGGTTGTCTTGGGAGAAACTTATTTAAGTGGTGCCGAACAATTTTGATATGTTTTCAATTGAAGGGAGCCTGAAATCTAGAATGATTGGTTCGAGTTATTAATATCGTGCTCCATTGCATCGATTAAAGCTAGTTCTGAAATTTGTCACTATGTATTGAGATTTCAGCTTCCCATCTGTCAACGAAATTGCTTGTTGGTAAATTAGTATTGAGAAGGGGTTTGAATTCTTTAAGCATTTTGCAAAATACACTTACGATACAATTTCGCAGCTGTGAGGAAGCAGTAGAAAATTAAAGGAGATAGAAGGACTTGTACAGATTATTTTTATACTGGTTCAATATGTTTGTTATAATCACAAAAAACAGACTTTTCAACGAGTGCTTTTTCAACTCTCTCAAAATGGAATCTATTCCTAACATATATACCGTGGTTCCTTACTTCGACAGGGTACAAATATCTAAATTTTATATTTTTAGATACTTTTTCAGACCTATTGCCGATACTAATACTAAGTAGTAGCCAAAAATTTGTATCTATTTTTCATGATATTATGCATGGATCAGATATATCATGGCGAATTCTTCCAATTTCATTGTGGAAGACACAATGGAATCGAATAAGTGAGATTTCGAGTAAGTAAGTGTTTACATAAAAGTTAGAAATCTTGGACTATAACTATATTTAATTTTAAAATAGTGATTTAGCCTACACCCTTCTATTTTGGCTTATGCACGACTTGGACATTAGGGTTTCAAAAGGTGTAAATGACCTATGAAACTTCAAACTTAGACAATTCTGTACTGATTGTGTTTAAATTTGCGTTACAGTTTACCAGTTATTTAATAGTTTACCCAACGAATGGTCCTTCTTTTGTGAAAGTGTGAAGTTCAATTAAATCATTTGCGTATTTTCAAACTAATTTAAATATGGGCAAAAGTTAAAAGGTGTAAACTGAACTTGCTTTTAAGAGAGGACCACCAAGTGAAAAGAGCAATATCTCACACTAACTGCTTATGTCGTACACTATCAAAATTCATTAACCCCCAGACGATAAACGAGGGAGATTTCCTTGTACAATTTGAAACTTTCTTTTAATCAACAAATCAAATATGCTCCATATTACAATGAAGTCAACTAAACATATTAAAAGGTGTTGCATTAGAAAACGAAGCTCAAGCTCAAAATCTTCTGTATGCTTAAACTGCAAAACTAGACACCCCAATATGAATTGCAGAATAAACTTACTTAAGAAGACATCCAAGCTGCTGCAGATGAATTTTCAAATAAGAATTCGGCATCTCAAGGTGAATATGGAACTGCTTTCAGATGCCAGCTAGACTGTAAGCTGAAAGTAGATCTTAAGTAACAGCAAATCACAAGCTCCAGGCAGAGAACACATTTAAGTACTTACCAAGTAAGGATAAATCTTTGAATACATTTAGAACTTATCAAAAAATAAGGTTTGAGCACTTACAACATGGACTCAGTTCAAAAATGAAGTTAATACAAAGGAAATTTCTGCAATTGTGTATTAAGAAAAATGAAATCTCTGTAACAAATCCTGTTACTGTGTATTAAGTTAACAATAAGCAATTCAAAACACTCTGACTCTATCAGAGAAATGAAAAACAGATTAAAATTTGAGAGCCATCAATGGCAGTCTAGTAGCATAGTTAATTGGTTATGTAGCTGTACTTAATGCACTTCAGTATAGATAAGATTCAATGTACATAATCTGTACACACAATTTGAATAAACCTTCACAGTCTCAAAAAAATTAAATGAGCCACCCATAATCAGCTCATGCTCCAATCATGTAGCTGTCTGTCCGGCTTGAGCATCAGATCTCCATTCTTTACATTTTGTTTCAGGTTTGAGCTTAGCTTTTTGACCAGGAAGCACCAGATCCACCATTATGGCGTGTTACATAGGTATAACTAATGAAGCACAGATACTTTCAAATGGCTATCAAACTGGTATTGGACATTTATTTATATCTGAAGCTCCTTGGACACCATGTTACCCCATCTGATTCTATAAATCTGCATCCCACATTTTTTAAAAATGTGTGTCAATACAAGTGCGGTGTCATAAGAATTAAATAAATAAGTCTTTTTTTTGTGTACATAATGACTAGTGCTTAGGATTTGATAGTCCCGCCTATTTAATGTTTATGAGATAGAAACAAAATTTCGCATGACCATAAAAACATCTATTTTTGAACTCTAGATGCTTTGAAACAACCCTACATATCTATGGACACCAAACATATAATTATGGCTCAACCAGAATCTTGCAAGCTCAGCATACAAGATCCTCAAAACTGCGATCTTTTACTGAGACAGAAACAATGGGTCAAGGACACATCTTAATGTCCCCTACCATAATAACCAGTCACAAAATGACAAAATGATCATATTCAACAATGGCAACATGAAACAGACACATTTGAAAAATGTGATCCCAATAACATCTTGGAGGCTACTGTTCCAAGGAGTTTGCAATTTAATCTATATCAACTGTGATATATTCACAATCACTTGATTCAGATCAAATAATTACAGTCCCATATCCAAAAGCTGCAAACTCAGATTAAGTGCCTGTTTGGATTCTCTTTTTTTTAGCTTCTCTTCTCAGGTAGCCCAAACAGGTTTTTACAAAAGCTTTTATAATAAAAAGAGCTTAGAAAAAAGCTGAAAGCCAAAAACTCCTAAGAGGAGCTTTTTTTTAAGCTCTTATCAGCTTTTCTTGAAATGAGGTTTGAGTTTTTAAGTAACTTTTAAGCTAAATTTTTTATGTAATCACCAAACAACCTTTAGCTTTTTTTTTAGCTTTAGCTTAAAATTAGCTTTTAGCTTAAAAAAGAGAGGATCCAAACATTTACAACATTTCTTATCTCAAAGAAATGTTCCAACATTTAGACTGACAAAACAGAAATTGGGTGCATTACCTGAGAGTTTTTAGAGAAGTAGCCAATAGATGGGTCTTTCAAATTTTCAATTAATATCAATCTTTAAGTCAGGATGAAGACTGGTAATGATTTATCTATGGTTGGCCTGAATGGATGATGATGGGTTGCTGGATAATTGTGTCAACTTTACACAAAACTGTCCAGACAATCACTGATTAGGAAGGTCATATCATAGATCAATGATTGTGGGACAGTGTGTGATTTTTTATTTTATTATTATTTCACTAGCATTGCTCTTCAGTAAACCAGATAATTTGCACAATGAAGGGATTATATTTTTCTTTCAAGTTGATCGAAAGAGGAAGCATAAATAAAGTCCCTTATCTGGTCAAACCCCTTCTAAACAGCAAGATTTTGTTCCACAATGATGGATATTTTTAATGAGAGACAGTTTTGTGTTTTTCCATGAATGCATATGCCTTCTAATAAAAATTCTCAGAAAGAAAAAGAATTAACTAATAAAAGAAATTACTTTCCAGTGGTTAAGTTGTTGGGCCTCAATCAATTCTTGAGAAATCTACAATACGTCCACTTACAAATTACAAAACGAGTTTGGTGCATAACAGCTGTGGAGAAACAGAACCAGAAACTTTTCAGTCCTTATCGCCCTAGTATGTTTTGTATGTGGTCGGCAACAATGTCTGCCACAATCTCAGGTGAGAACCGTCTTATCATGTCCTCCCTTGCCTTTCTGCCTTTGGCTGTAGCCTCAGTAAGATTATCCATCACCTGCCTCATGAGAACCTGAAGTTTATACTCAGAAGGTTCAGCCCACAGATGTCCCTTGAATGGACCTTCCATTACTTCACTCATTCTATCCACAGGTAGTGGATAGCTGTTATCCTCAGTCAAATATTCTGTCTGTCCTGACCAATTTGTAGCAATCACTGGCAATGACATTGACATAGCTTCCACCAGAGGTCTTCCCCATCCTTCTCCTCTGGAAGGAAGAACAAAAGCATCAGCTGCCCTGTAAACTCTTGGCAAGTCACTTTGTGCTATGTGTGTATCAATTACATAAACTGGAGCCCAACCACTAACTGGTTCTCTTATATCAGAATTCTCCACAAAATCCAATATTTTGTTCCCAAAATCCCTGTCAGTATGATATGGATTTGTTAATAAGTACAAAGCAACCATATCATCCTTTGAGAATTCCTTCAAGTATGACTTTAACAACACATCCCACCCTTTCCTGTACTCCCACTTGAAGATACTTAAAAACACAAAACTCTTCCTCACACCAGAACCTAAAACCAGCTTTGCTATAGAAGCAAGATCCAATGGCTTGTACTTGTCAGGATCAAAGAACATCACATCAATAGGCTGAACGATCTTCACCACCTTGGAAGGATCAACCCCACTTTCTACAAAGGTAGATTTATGAAACTCTGTAGGAACCCAAACATAATCCATTCGATTACAGCGCTCTACATGTTCCTCATTCACTCTATCAGTCTCGAACATAGTCCTGCCAATCACAGACTTGAAATCATGATAAACAGATGGTGGGCATGGAAAGGTTTCGAACAGTGGAGGGTACCAAGCACCGGGTTCACTATGGCAAACTACAATGGTCTCATTCATTCTACACTGTGTTTGGTACAACTCATAGGCCAGGTCCTTCATATCTTGTGGCAAACCCTCCCAAAAATCCATAGATTCTAGATCACCATGGTGCTCAATTGCCAACCTAAAAGTATGCATTTTCCTGTGTCTATGAAGGGCCAAAATATACGACCAACCTTCTGAGCTATACCCACCACCTGAAAGAAAGGGAGCCATCCATAGCACACAATGGGAGGGCATAGAAACTGGTTTTGGGGATGATAAGAGTGACCCGATTGGATCAAATGGGTTTGGTGATGTGAGTGAGTATTTCAAGTAGTGAACTTTATAGTATTTTGTTCTTGTGACACCCAACGAGATTGCTATAAAGAGAACCAATAAGGACACTGCGTAAAATGTAAACTTTCTGAATTTTGATATGAAGGGGTTGGTTGTTGGATTGGGAAGAACATGTTGCTGGTCTGAATCCGAGGAATTCATGACAACATATATGTCTGTAGGGATCACACTATGGATTCTGGAGGGAGAAGATTATAAATGACACGGTATCTAGAGAGAGAATGAGAATGATAAACCCTAATTACCATTGCACTCTTTGCACCAACCAAAGCCATTTTTGTTTTTGCTGACTCATTGGATCCACACTGAAATTATAAATGAAATAAAAAAAATACCCTAGAAAATGATATTTTTCACCGCCGATCAAATGGATAATTGGGTGAGTTATTCCAGATTAAACAATGGCATTGATTCTCAAAAAAAAAAAAAAATAGAATTTTCCCCTCTCTAACTGGGTGATTGGAACATGGAATGTGGGAATTTGTTTGGCCATTTGTGTGTCCTACTTATATGTTTCAAAAGGTTTTTTCACTTATAATTTTTTATCATTGTAACTCTTATTTAATAATTAATTATTAAATTAATTTTGATTATAAATTATTTAAAAAATTTAATCTTGGTTAAAAACATAACACCTCTGTTTGACCATTGAAGCGGTATCCCTTTTTATTTGGATATTTTTTGTAAATTTTATCGCACCCGAATAATGAAGAGGATACCCTAAAATATTTCAAAAATCTAAGAAAATGATCGAATTATTTACCCGGATAAATAAGGACTACTAGGTCGATTCATATGGGAAAAGTTGTTCAGAATCCACTTTCCTTTTCTTCAGAATCATTTTAATTTCTTTCCTTATTTCATTTGCAGCTTTCATTGCCCTATAAAACGTTGTTCCGGGCAAATTGATGGGGAATCCAATCATCCCTTTCAGAAATTCATCAAATTTTGAGGAAAGCCTTGACACAAGGATAGAGTCTTCAATGCTTAAAAATAACCAACAAGCCAATTCAAACGTGTATAGCTGTACTGTGGGATAGACATGCACCTGCACCTTTCCTTCAAATTTGTAAAGTAACAAAAGAATAAAATTATTGATCATGACATTCTTTTTCTTTTCATTTCTAACTAATAACCCTTCTTATGAATCAAAACGAAATAACTGAGTCAATCAACACTGTTTCATAAGCTTGTAAAACAGGTGTCCCTCTTAAGACTAGTTATAATCTAAAAGATCATTCATATGATAATTTCTTTATTTCATATGACCCACTTGTTTCAATAAAATGAAAAGAAACCCACATTTGAGCATCTTACCTTCCCACTGTGTGCTTATATTAGGGTTGGCAAAAACGAGTCAACCTGACGGGTTGGCTCGCAACCCGTCCTAAATGAGTCGGGTTGGGTTGGCCTAAATGAGCTGTCAACCCGATACAACCCGACCCGATACAACCCTAACCCAGACGAGCCAACCCTCGGGTTAAACGGGCCAGCTCGCGGGCTGGGTATTTTTTTTAAATTAAAAAAAATAAAACGTTTGGTTTGAGCTTTTTAACGCTGAAGACCAGAATCCTTTTCCAGCATCAGGGCGCTAAAACGTTTGAGCTTTAACGTTTTAACGCTGAAGACCTGCATATTTTTGGCTTTGACGTGCAGCAGCGCGCTAAAACGTTCTGGATGGACGTTTTAGCGCTCCAGACCAGCATCTTTTGGCTTCTTTCTGTAGCAGGGCGCTAAAACGTTCTGGATGAACGTTTTAGCGCTCAACACTTAGAATTTTTTTTCTTCTTCAGAATCTTCTTCCTTCTCCTAGAGCCAACCCGCGAGCTTTTTTCCGAGCCAACCCGCGAGCTGATTATCGAGCCAACCCTAACCCGGCTCGGGTTGGGCTGGGTTGAGTTTTCTGGCTCGTTTATTTTTTCGAGCCAACCCTAACCCGACCTGATTTTTACGGGTTGAATGCGGGTTGGGCCGGGTCTAGCCGGGTTGGCCCGTTTTGCCAACCCTATGGCGCTGAACAATGTTTATAGAAAGAAGGAAATAAAGATGAATGTTTACCCGGATATTCTCTCCTTAGCTGGGTAAATAATTCAACCATTTTTTTAGATTTTTTGAAATATATCAGGGTATCCCCTTGACTATTCGGGTAGGATAAAATTTTCAAAAAATACCCGTGTAAGGAGGGGATACCCGGGTAGGCTTTATGGTCAACGGTCAAACAGAGCAGATTAATGTTATGTTTTTAAGCAAGGTTAAATTTTTGAAATAGTTTATAATCAAGGTCAATTTGATAATTAATTATTAAATAAGGGCTACAGTGATCAAAAAGGCCTTCTAATTTAGAATTTTAAATTAGGGGTAATCAATTCTCCTGAGAATTGTCCCGTTTCCCGCGGTAGAGCAATATGTGGAGCCCATCACATCTTTGTTAAAAGAAAAAGAAAAAATAATTAAAATTTTTTATGTATATTGACAGGAAAATACTTTTCTTTCTACAAAAGTAGAAAAGTGTTTCCTTTAGGGGGTGTTTGGTATAAGAGATATTTATTTTTACCGAAAAAAAAGATTGTTAGGAATTTGGTAGGAATTTTTTTATCCTGAGTAAGTTACAAAAAAGTGTTTGGTTGGCCAAAATTTTACATGAAAAGTTGGGTTAATTTTACTGATGCTACGTTTGATTGACGGTAAAATATTGATGGAAATGTGAATGAAATAATCAAAATACCCTTAATTTTTTGAATATGCCAAGTGAGTCATCATCAAATGTTGCTTTTTTTTTTTAGAAAAGTGAATCAAATGTTACTTTTTGAAAATCCAAGATCAAGGGGGAAAAAATGACAAAGGTTAAGTGAGATTTTTTTTTGCCTTTGTGTAGTTCAAAAGGAAAATATAAGGTAAAAAAATTTGCTGGCATTTTGTTCATAATACCCATACCAAACATGGTAAATAAATATTCCTCATTCCACTTTCCCATCATTCCATACCAAATACTCATACCAAACACCCCCTTAAATCAAGGGAGTAAATCTTTTTCTGTTGCTGGAATGGGAAAGATTTTTCCCGCTAAGCCATTGTAGGGTGTGCATGACAACCATTATGTTCCCTGACACTGTTTTTGAAAAGAAACAATTCTTTTATATTTCTGTGCGCTTTGGAACAGTTTCTGAGAAAAAAAAATGTTTGATAACATGTTCTTTTTATTATGAGAATGTGAATTGCGTTTGATAACACAACCAATAATATAATAAAAAATAATTCATATTAAGCATCATTTTTTTTTTGGATTATCACTTTCCTTTCCATATGGTGTGGTGGTGGCGGTGATGGTAATGTTGGCGATGGTGGTGGCGGCGGCAGTGGTGGTAGCGTGAAGGTAGTAGTAGTGACGGCAGCGGCTGTGGTGATTGTGGTAGTAATGGTGACAACATGGTGGTGGAGGTGGTAATGGTGGCAGTAATGGTGGTGATGGCAGTGGCTGCGAAGATGGTGGTGATGGCAGTGGCTGCGAAGATGGTGGTGGTGGTGACGACAGTGGTTGCGTGGTGGCGGTGGTGATGGCAGTGGCTGCGGCAGTGATAGTAATGACAGTGGTTGCGGCGATGGTAATGGTGGTTCGTGACGGTGGTGGCATTATGGTGGTGGCAATGGCGTGGTGATAGCAATGGTGGTGGTGACGATGGCAGCAATGGTAATGGTGGTGATGGGTGGAGGTGGTGGTGGTGGTTGTGATGGTGGCGGTGACGTCGTCGTCGTCGTTGTGGTGGTGGTGACGACGGCGGATAGTGGTGGTGGTCGTGTCGAGATGACGGTGGTGATGATGATGATGATAGTGGTAGAGAGTAATTGAGAGAAATAAGTATTTCTCATTTCGTGCCCGAGAACAAAAAAACAGAATTTTTTTGATTCTCTTTTCAATTTTCCAGCACAAAAATTAAATCGGTTCATTCTGGGAATAAAAAAAATAAATCAGAAACGAGTTTTCTATCCATTTATGCTCCCAAAAATAGAAATTAAAAAAAAATTAATTAGGGGAAAGTTGTCATTTTTTTTGTTTGTTTTTCTTTTTTTATTGTGCGGGTCCCACACAACTATGTCTCACTTTTGCTTCTGTATAAGAAATAATTAATACTTAAATTAATGTACAATACAGTATTCAAATTATGTAAACTCTTTTCCTCTTCTATCTAATGCAGATTATGTAAAATACGTTTGAATGATTTAAAAACTGAACATCAAGAAAGAATCCGTACAAATAAGATTCCATTTGGATGGTTTTTTTTCTTCAAAAATAGTTTTTTTTTTTTTTTAAATACTTCTAAAAAAATGTCTGTTGTCCATATTTTTTTAAAAAAAAGGCAAAAATCTATTTTTTTGAAAGTTAAAAATTTTGGATTTTTAAGAAAAACAGAAATAAAAAATCTAATTTTTTTAAATTTAAATAATTTTAACTTTTATAAAAAATATTTTTAAAATAAATAAGACATAAAATTTTTTTTGGGAAAGGTAATGCAAACGGCTCTATAAATAAGTGTGAATAACTCAAATGCACGAAAATTCAATTCAAACTCAACCAATTTACTTTGCTTGGGAGGTACGCCCCTAGGCCGGCAACACAAGTGTCAAACTTTTTGAATAAAATTATGTGTGAATACTCAGATAAAAAGTTGAATAAAGGACCCATGGCTCTTGGGCAGGTACTGAGTGGTGGGAGAGAATTTCGGTTCGAATTCCATCAATATCATCTAGGAAGGGACATAAGTACCGTAATTCTTGGACTCGTACCCGAATTTTGAATTAGTCTCATAGACAACTCAAAGAGTCAAATCCATAAAAATACTGGAGAATTCTAATTCGCTTCAAAAAAATAATTAGTATCAGTTCTAAAAAAAAAGTTGAATAAAGGGGATGCATGTTGCTGTATGGATTGGCTCTCAAATCTCTCTTTGGTCAATCTAGCTCTCTAGGACTTTTGTTTTTTGGTCCCCTCTCCTCTAGCATTTATTTATTTGTATTTAGTTGATGTAGGTGGTTACAATAAAACTCGATTATTTATTCTTTGTTTGTTTGGGGTCAATCCCCATTTAGGATACAAAAAAAAAAAAATGCATTTTTTGAAACATTACAAATAAATAATATAGTACAAGTAATTGAAGATATTACACTTTTTTTTTTTTAATATTTCTCATGTGATACGGGATAAAATTATTTCTTACATTCATAAAAGTATATGAGACTTATTTTTTTTATCTCTTTTCTCTTCATATGGGCTCTACACATCATGTAGTAGATAATTTTTATCTTCTGCAATATGAAAAATATTATTTTTTTAATGTTTTTAGTTGTTTGATAACTAATATACGGATTAAAATTATGTGAGATTTATGATAGTATAAAACAATTTTTTTTTATCAATTTACGATAATTTTTTGAGTAGGCCAAATTTTATGTATTTTAAAATTTATAATTTAAATAAAAAATATATAATTGAATAAAAATACTCACTATACATACATCACATTATATAAAATACAGTACATTATTTATATAACATAATATAAACAAATATTTGAATCAATTGGACTGACTACAAATAAATATTGATATTTAGATAATATATTTAATATTTACTATAAAATAAAATAAATTTTATCATATTTAAATTTACTTTATATTTAATTTTCAAATCATAATTCTATTCTTCTTGTCTTATTCATTTATTATATATTTGATATTGATCTATTTGAGATTAACTAGAAAATAAAGCTATTTTTTCATGCTTAAATAAATTAAATTAATTATTCATTTTTCAAATCCTAATTCTATTATTCTTACATCACTTACTTAATTATTATATATTAATATTTAGGTAGACACAAAATATATCCCAGATTAACTAGAAAATAAAATCAATTTATTATGTTTGAATCTACTTTTTACAGGTTTACTTCTCCTATATATTTCCAATACATTTCATATTTTTATATCTTTAAAATAATTGAAACAACATTAACTTTTAACAAAGCTAGGAAAAAATATATCAAATAACATGATGAATGTGGTGTCAAGCATCTACTCATGCACTAAATGAAAAATATTAGTAATTTATTTTGAAAAGTGAAAGGAGGCCATGGTCAATTACCCCCTAATCCCACTGTTGCTCCATCGTTGTATTGATGGTTGTTAGTTTTGTACGACAAATTATTTTTTAAAAAGCATCCAATTAAATATTGGAGAAGTTTTATATCTCTTACTACTAAATTAATTATTATTAATTTTCATCAATCTAATAATTATAATTTATTGAAAAATAATAATTAACTAATAAGTGTGACTTAATAAATTATAACTATTAGATTGATGAAAATTAACGGTGATTAGTTTAATAGTAAGAGTTGTAAAATTTTTCAGTAATAAATATAATCGCTCCCATTAAATATATAGAAAGATAAAATTAAATAAAATTCAAAATGTGAAAAATTATAATTTCATAATTTGAAAATTATAATAATTATTAAAAAACAGTAGACATACAATTTATGAAAACTATGCATTGAACTAGTAAAAAAGTTGATTATAAAGTCAAATTAAACCGTTTAAATGAGCTTAACATAATGTTTGCATTTCAATTAACTTATTTTGTATAAAATAATTAATAAAATTTCTATTGAGAGTAAAATATTTATATGACAAAGAAACGATAAAATATGCATAAACTTACCACTTATCATATCATGTTCTCATTAACAAGATATGATAATTTATCCTTTTATATTTTAGCTATCATGTTGATTAGATGGATATTCAAAATTCTTTATGGTCTAAAATAATTTAATTTTAAGAATGCAGATATTCTGACGAGTTTTCAATTTTTTTTTGTTGAGAAATACTGATATTGATTGGTATTATCATGAATACTGTTTCGGTTATATATATATATATATAGATGGGGCATGATCATCTTATATCGGTGTAAGAATAATAAGTCTTACACCAAATCTTAACCGTTGATTTCCGTGCATTTAACACTTGTAATATATATGGTTATGATTTAGATGCACGGAAATCAACAGTTACGATTTGGTGTAAGACTTATTATTCTTACACCGACATAAGATGATCTGTCCTTATACCTATATAGATATATATAAGGCTTATCGTTTCTCAAGCTGCTTGAGATAATCTTATCTCCGGCTATACAAAGATGGATCAATGGTGATAAAGGAAGAGAGAAAAAGGGAATCATAACCATTCAAAGGTGAATAAATTAATATAAAGAAATAAATAAATAAAACGACGTAGTTTTGGGTAGCCGGAGATAAACTTATCTCAAGCTGCTTGAGAAATATTTTTCCCAAATATATATATATATATATATATGAGGTATGATCCTTTGACACCGGTGTCAAATTTGAAGTTTGACACCTCATCTAAGAGCCGTTAGATCAAAAAAGATCAATGGTGTCACATGCTTACAAATCAGAGTCGTTATCTTTTTTGATCTAACGGCTCTTATATGAGGTGTCAAACTTTAAATTTGACACTGGTGTCGAAGGATCTTGCTTATATATATATATATATATATATATATATATATATATATATATAGATTTTTGTATTATATAAAATACAGAATATAATTACATAATTGATCAAAACTAAAATTTATTTCTTTTTACGAGCTTTATATATATATATATATATATATATATATATATATACAGATCAGTTTTATTTATTTATTTCCTTATATTCATTGATTCACCGTTATGATTTCCTTTTTCTTTCTTTTCCTTTATCACCATTGATTCATCTTTGTACTATTATGATTTAGTTGCCGGAGATAAGATTATCTCAAGCAACTTGAGAAATGATAAGCCCATATATGTAGGGATAATCCTTTTGAGATCGATGTCAAATTTTAAAATTTGACACCAAATCCTATCTGTTGATTTCGTCAATCAACGGTTATTATTTATTGAGAATTTTCAATAAATAATAACCGTTGATTGACAGAAATCAACAAATAGGATTTGATATCAAATTTTAAAATTTAATACCGGTGTTAAAGGACCTGCCATATATATATATAGGGAAAAAAGTTTCTGATGTTACTTTAGATAACTTTATTTAATGTTCATCGAAACGACGTCATTTTGAGGTTGAAAAATTAAAAAATTAGAGTGATAAAGACTATTATAACCCTGAAATAAATTAAAATTATAAAAATACCATGATTTCCGTCCCAAAACGACGTCGTTTTGATGAACATTAGATAAAGTTATCTAAAGTAACATCAGAAAAATAAACCCATATATATATATATATATATATATATATATATATATATATATATATATATATATATATATATATATGAGATATCAGCAATTATTAGTTATTAAATTTTAAATCGCTTTTTTTTAATAAAAAAAGTTTAAGTGGGGTTAGACACCGGTATCCCACTAGGGACCCCCAACCTCTTTGAGGATTTCTGAGACGGATTACATATCTTCCACCAACAAAGACCTCACATGGTCAGCGGAATTTGATTCCACGCCCTTGAAAGATATGGACCAAACCCTTAGCCAACTGTACCCACCTTTGCTCGCAATTATAAATCGTTTTTAAAAAGCATCTATTCAAGTCAATAGTAATTATTTAAAAAATGGCAGACATGCTAAAGCTATATAATAAGTAGATAGGAACGTTAGTTTACAAAAAAAATAAAATAAAATAGAGAGGAACGTTCGGTGGAAGATTCTGCACTAGATTTTGCTAAAATCGGTGGTTTATCGTGTTAAGCAAAGTGCAAAACGCCAAAATCAAAGTCTCGTTCTTCTTCTTCTCTTGTGCTCATAACACAAGGTTTAGGTCTCTTCTTCCATTCAATTTCAAACGCTGTGTGGGTTCACGATTCACGAACAAGAAGAAGAACGATGAAGAGGGTCTTCGGTGCCAAGAAGAACAAGGATCCCCCTCCTTCTATTCAGGATGCCTCTGATAGGGTTCATCTCTCTCTCTCTCTAAATTATCAATTTTATTGTTCATATTCTCGCAGATCTGTTCAATTTGGCGTTCAGAATCATGTTTTGAAGCCAAGAAAATAAGTTATGGCCAAAACCCTAAAATCGAAGAAAAATCCTTGGAATGCCATGCTTATTGATCGCATAATTGAGTGGAATGGCATGAGATCAGTGCATGTTTTCAACGAAACACTACCGTATGATAACCTATTGAAGATTTGAACTACTTTTCTACTTCCATTTTTTTTCCTTATTTTTGTTTACCACTTTTCAAGATGTGAATCAACTGGTTTATGATGTATGGTGGTACTTTTCCTGCTCTTACTTTTGTAGTCTTCCTAAAGCTCTACTACCAGAATCCAAGCTGGCTGAAAATTTCCTACCAAATTTTTTTTTTGAAACTTTTAACATATGTGGGGCAAACTCGGGACTCTCTCTCTCATTGTTATTTTTTAAAATAAAAAAATTTAGTTTTGTATTTTTTGTAATATAATAGTTGCCTAGGATTGAATTGCAAAAAGAAACGTAGTTGCCCATTAAATGTTTGAATTTTGGAATTCAGATTTTTTCTTCATAATTTTGTTGGATAAAAACTTATTTTGATTCACTTATGGTGCTTGGATTTTTTAAGATTTTGTTTTTACCGCCTCCCCCCTATATCTTTTTTCCATTTGTACATACTTTTGTGTTACAAGTTTTTACTTTTAGATTTGTTTTTACACAACTGTAATCTTCTTATATTTAGTCAATTTCCTTAATTTCTTGAGTTGTTTAACACATTGGTTTATGGTAATTTCAATTTTCTATATGGTGAAGTATAACTTTGTATTCGTCCAGATTACTAAACGAGGTGATACAGTAGATGATAGGATTAAGAAGCTTGATGCTGAACTTAATAGATATAAAGAACAAATCAAGAAAACAAGACCTGGTCCTGCCCAGGAAGCTATTAAAGCTAGAGCCATGAGAGTTCTTAAGCAAAAGCGAATGTAAGTTCCTCATTCTTTGGTTGCTTAGTTTATTTGTAACAGTTTATTCATCAAATTGATTAAGCATAAGTTATAAATCAATGATGGTAATTTATTGCAAGGTTTTGGTCTGTTGTCATGTGCTCGTATGTAAGAAGTTCAGCAAAGCTTAGCTACTATTCAAACTGAATCTTTACATTGACAGGGTTTTTTTTGACAAAAGATATATGTCATTCATTTTGTGTTGTATCCTTGCTATAAATTTCCAGATCAATGATTTATTATTCTTTGTTCATTTTTCATTTTTAGTCTCTCTGTTTCAGTTCCTTTAACCTTTTTAATTTTTACTTTGTACTTTTAATTGGCTCATATCTAAGGTCTTTATTGCACATAATATGTCTCAAGTTTTTAGCCTGGATTTATTGTCTGTTCTTTAATTGGTTTTATCCGCTTTTTGATGGAATTTCCAGCTCTTTATTTTTTATCTTAGGTATGTTGGGATACTGTTTCTTGGTATCCTGGCGTTTTTTACATTTTTTATATAGCTGTATTCATAGCACTACGCCTTTGGTCAGGTATGAAGGCCAACGTGACATGCTGTATAATCAGACATTCAATCTTGATCAAGTTCAATTTGCTTCTGAGGGCATTAAAGATGCTCAGCAAACTGTATGTATCCAAGAGCTTTTAGAGTTTTCTTTGTGATCCTTGTATGGAACTTTTTTTTTCTGTATCTAAGTGTATAGCACACTTCTTTGAACTGTAAAAGAATATGTGGATGGTTTAATTCATAATAGAAGACATATATCATAAAAAAACTTCTACAGCAACAATTTATAGCATAACTTCATCCCTCCCTCTATGAAAGCAAGTGATAAGATTGTTTGCATTATTTCGGTTGTGCCTATGGTTATTAAGCAGTGAGGCTTATTAGCTTTCTGTTTATTGGAAGGGGAAACTTGTTCAATTCTGTGGTTCTTGTTTTATGATTTAGGAGTAGTACTTGGGGGAAAGGGTAGGAGTAGTACATGTGGCTTAAAAGATAAGAGATCATAGATTGAGATGGTTTAGGCATATTCTTCGAAGACCCCTAGATGCTCCTGTAAGAACAAGAATTTGATACCAAGAGCATGATATAAAGAAAGAAGAGGTTAACCGAAACTTACTTAGGGGATAATAGTAAAATAAGACACAATCGAGTGTGAAATAGATTGCCTTACGATTTGTTTAGGGATGGTGTGGAGGATAGCTATTAGCATTATGGAGGGGTAGACCCATTATTTCCTACCTACATGATCTTTTTTTATTCCCTTTTCCCCTATATTTTTGTATTGCTTCTATCTTGTTTATTTTTCTTTTCCCTCAATCTTTTCTTGCTTTTTATTTGGGTTCATCGGCCGCCGACACCCAACTAGTTTGGGTTCAAGGTGATGCTGATGTTGATGTTTTATGATTTTTCATGAGGGTGAGTCTTGGCGCAAAGTTGCTGCCTTGTGATCTAGTGGTCTCACGTTTTAGTCAGGAAAACATCCTCTCTACTAGCTGTTTAAGGGCTGTGTTCATTTGACCCTCCCTAGACCCCACAATCGTGGGAACCTTGTGCAATACTGCGCTGCTCTTTTGTTTTATGATTTATCCCATGGAGTTTATCTTGATTTTTAAATACAACTTATTTGGATGTCCGGAACTATTTGCAAAATTACTACAAATTTGATGATGGCAATTGTATGCTATATTAAGTGTAGTTGACTGGGGTATCCGTATTCACTGTAAAACATTCGTTTGTCTTGGTAGCGCTTTAAGGTGCATGGTTCGAGGCGGAGCTTTCTCTGTACCCTGTTTGGAACCTGCTGCCTACCTCATGAGAGGTAGGGGATGAATCGTTTGTCATTTGGGAGGGTCTCTTCATAGAGATGTTATTTATTATGCCTTATACTTTTGTTATAACAATTTCTAGTATGCATTTAGGTTTTTTTCAGAAATCAGATGAACTTAAAGAATATTTTGTCAAGCAGATATAATTGCTTAAAACTTTCTCTTTCTTTTTACCTTTCCCTTTTTCAGATGTCAGCTTTGAAGTCTGCCAACAAGGAGTTGAAGGGAATGATGAAAACTGTGAAGATCCAAGACATTGATGTGTGTATTCTCTTTCCTTTTCTCTGATAGCTTTTATCTAGCTAACCTTGAAAATTTAGGTCTTAACTGTTGATCCATATTACATGTAGAACTTGCAAGATGAGATGACGGACATGATGGATGTAAGTAATGAAATCCAAGAGACTTTGGGTAGAAGCTATAGTGTGCCCGATGACATTGACGAGGATGAACTTATGGGCGGTAAGTTAAGAAATTGTTTAGGCTTTTGAGATATATGTTTGAAACCTTTCCGAAAACTCCTAGCTAATGTGGCTACATGATTAGGTAGGGCAGTGGGATGACATAGCTGTTTAATGAAAATGGTTGCCCTTGTACATGTATGGGTTCCTAGTTTAAATGAAAAGATGTGCAATATTCTAAGCAATATTTTTTTAGCTTGTAAAAAGTCTCATCAACTGCATTTTGTGGGTGTGAAGGGAGAACTTTCCTTTTTTTTTTTCATGAAGTGTTAAGTTATCTGTTTTTTTCATTCTTATTTTTGGTAAAACAGAACTTGATGCACTGGAAGCAGACATGGGAAATGAGACTGAAGCTGATGGGGTCCCCTCCTATCTCCAACCTGATAAAGAACCTGATTTGGATGCAGAGCTTAACTTACCTTCAGCTCCATCAGGACAAACGGCAGTGCCACCTGGCAGATCTGGTGCCCATGTATAATTTTTTGCCCTTCTTTACTTTTATCAAAAAAGAAAATTCTTCTGTCTTTTTGTAGTTTAATTATTAGAACTGTACTTAAATGAGGTTTTAATGGGGGAAAAAAAACTTGGTCAAGTTGCATTGCAAAATATTTGGTGTTAAAACAGGTGAGTTGTGTCTTTTGCAACTTGGTCAAGGCATGTACGTTAGTTATGGATGGACAGTTGTACGCGGTTTCTCTTTAGAAGAGATTAACTTGATGGAACTATGAGAGCATGAAATAAATTACAAAATGTTGGAAAAGCTATGGGAAAATTGGTTGTTATTCAATGCAATCTTGGTTGCAGGATGTCTAGACAGCAACGTGTTTTCTTTAGATAAATAATCTAGCTAAGTAGATTGGGGAATAATCTTGCTAATTTGATTGGAAGTCCTTATGAAGGATGGGGTTTTGGGTTCTAAAGCAGGTTAGGAAAAGATCATAGCTAAGGCTGTTTATATGGCTGGCCAATATCGTCCAAGATAATTGAATATAGTTTTTCCATAGATTTGAACGTTGAAAGATAAATGCAAGAATTAGAATTTTGAAAATTAGTATACAGGGGTTACTGGAAATTGAAGCAGGTCTATTTAAGACATGAAACTGGATGATTGAATGGAATCAATAAGTGGAAAGTAGTGGGCTTGTTCAATGCATCATCTATTGTTTTCTTCATTATACAACCATTAACGAGAAGAGGAAGCCTATACTTAGTACCATATTTTGTGACAACTGTACTGCATGGAAAACCTATGGATGTTTGAGGTTGCATTCCTATGTTTGATGATGTAACTTGTAAGGATGTGCCTTATCACTGTTTAGTTTCTTGTTTTAGGCTTATCTTAATCTTTTCTCTGGCAAAGTATGTTCCATACACTTGAATTATGTATATGTGATTATTGAATTGATTTATCATCATTATTAGTGCCAACCTTTATACAGTTTAGGCAGAGCCTATGTTCTCTGGTCAACTGCTTATTAACAAGTGATTCTTGATACTGTTTAATACAAGAATCTGAACTGAAATAAATTTCTCTATCTAGTATTTTCTGCTTTGTTTTTAATTTTATGTAGCTTTCATTCCTGATTGATTACTTTGATACTGACAGACTGAGGATGAACTGGGTTTACCTGCTGTTCCTCGGGCATCCCTACGCGGTTAGTGAATGTTTTTTATGTCATTGGCTTAGCTGGTGCAGGCACGAGCAAGGCCCTGTAAAGATGTGCAGAACTTGAGAAAGTTGATTGTTACAGTCATTTAATTGATCTTGTGTTGGCATTATTTGACTTATTACCTTTTTTTTTCTTGTAATAAACCTTATGGAAGCATATTGGATATTTGTTTGAAAAGACTGACACGAAAAAAAAAAGAAGGAAAAATGTTACCGGAGTTTGGCAAAAGCTTGGAACTTGTTAGTCATGTTCAGAGGAAATCACTTATACACTTGCGTTAGCCCAATTTCTTCTCTCCGTTAAAATAATTTTAACAGATTTCTTAATGTAAGTGCAAGTGAAAGGAGATTAGTCTCTCTCGCATGCCTAACGGAGAATATTCTTGAAACCCAAAAAACTGAATAAAAAAATAATAATCATGAAATTGTAGCGAAAACGTGGGTAACTTTATTTTGCATGACAGTTTGGGTCAATTTTTTAACGAATTTTTCTGATCCTGAAATTATCAAATATGATCTTAAGGTTTATTTCCATTTAAAAGAACAAATAGAGGACAATTTAGTAATTCAAGTGGTGTTTGAGCGATGTTCCTTTCCTTTTCTTTTTTCTTTTGGTTATGATTATGATTTGGATGTTATCAGTTGAAACTCGAAAATGTGATTATATTGCCATGGAGCAAAAGAAATACGTTACTCCTTGAGCAGTAGCAGTTCAAGAAAATATTTGATTGGAGCAGGAATTTTGACCTTGAAATCAGACTCTCATCTTAAGGCTAGAAACAGCCATGCCAGAAAAATCATCAAACTGAATGCAGCTCCATCTGGGGTAAACTTTTATGGGTTGACCAATTTTCTTATTCTCAGCTCTAGTGGTGGAGCCGGCTCAAAAATTTAGATGATGTCAAAAAATTTGATATATCAAATTACTAAAATATTTATCATAATTACACAAATTTATGAAGAAAAAAATTTACTATGAATTCTAACATAGTTATCTAAATTATGTACTAAATAATGTCACATAATATTGAAAATTCAAACAAACAATTGTCGTTGATTATATATCAAAGCAAACATATAAAAATGTACTAATCTTTTTGGTAAACATTTCAAACATAAGAATTTCACTTTCCTCCCACAATATAATAAGTAATGAACTAAATATTATCTTAAGGATATGAAAACACACAAATATAATAATTATATGTATAATAAGCATTGTCCTTCATCTCCTCTTTCATTATCTCTATTCCTTAAATTTTCAATATCTCACGTCAGAGAACATCGCACTTGTTTGTAACAACCATGCATAAGCACGATGGAAAGTTCTCACATTTGGAAATTAGGTTATTGACTATTCTTTGTGTGTGCAATAATTCAAAACACAATAGTTCAATGGACCTTCATATTCTATAATTATAGTCCTGTTATTCATTTGGTTTCATGATTGTTACTTTCAAGTAGTGTTTTAAAACCCGGCTCAGACCGACCGGGTCGACCCGGGACTCGGTGACCAGGTGGGTTCCCCGGTCCGAGTGGGTAGTTAGACCGGTTATGCAGTCAGCCCGAATTGGACCGGTTGACCCGGCCGAAATCCAACGACCCTGTTGACTCGGGTTAAATCGGTTTTTCCTTCTTTTTTTTTGGTAATTTTTTTGTTTTGTTTATAAGAACTCTTGAATGAAATCATATTCATATTTTATGATGAATATGATTTAAAGTAAGGTGAAAATAATAAGGTATTTTTTTATTTTTTATTTTTGTAATAAAGAATAATAAGGTATTTTAGATTAGTGTAGTTCGTTTATGTAATTTAGTTGCATCTTATAATGATCTAATGAAGTTAAGTAGTGATAAACACTGATGATCTCATGATCTCATCTCAACGGTCTAGAGCTAGAAGCTTAAAAATATATAATATTTGCTATCATTGAAAACCAATTTATTTTTTGAAGCTCATAGATAGTTTTCTTATGTGAATTTTTATTAATATAAGTAATATTTTTATATTTTTAATATGTGAACAGTAAAACCGGTTCAACCCGGTTGAACCAGTGACCCAGTACCTCGACCGGTTCGATGACCGGTCTGAGTTTTAAAACACTGCCTTCAAGGGTTAAGTGTTTGTCTTTTTAAAGGATACAAATTGTGTCCTTTTAATTTTTAACATTATGTCTTATCGGTAAGACATAGTTATAACATGAAAAGTTTTTTTTTTCTCTCCACGTCAGCTGAAGTGACTGAAGAAATAGAAAAAAAAATCAATTTTTCATATTATAACTATGTTTTAGCGGTAAGATATAGTCTCAGAAACTAAAAAGATACAACCTTGTGTCTTTTAAGAGGACAAACCTTTTTTCCTACTTTTAAATGGGTTTATTTGGTTTAGTTAGGCCTAAATTTTGAAATAGGTCAGCTAATCATTTTTGTGATAAGTTTAAAAGTCTTTCTTTTTTAAAATAATAGGAGTAAGAATAAATAACATAACAGATTAGAATAAAGCTGGAAAAAAAAACAAATATACAGGGTAAAAAATAATAAAAGGTAAAATACAAAAATAACCAGACTATACATGTTCCTTATTATTTGTTTGCATTTAGGTGATTTGTCGTTACTTTATATTGAGTATTTAATTTTCTATTTAGGTGATGCTAAATTATAATTTTTACTTTAATTAATTATAATTAATTATATAATATGTAAAAAAAAAAAAAAAAAACAAGAAGGTGCCAAAGCACTTGCTGGCTTGCATGGTTACGCCACTGCTCAGCTCCTTGGTCTAAGTCAAAATTTGCGCATATCCACAAATCAGTGAAGCACGGAAACGGATAGTAACTAATTCATTAAACTTCTAAAATCTTAGCAGCCGCCGAAGAAGTTAAAAATTCTTAATATGGGTGGTGAGTGAGATTATTGATAAATGTCAAATTTAATGATATAAATAAGAAGTGTTATTATGACGAACGAAAGAGTTAGCCTTATCCACAAGAGATTTTAAAAGTATCAACAGAATTAAAACACCTAGCATTTCACTTTCTTTTCCCCCCGTTCTTTTCAAACATGACTCAATCTCTTCCTATATATACGTAAATAACAAATCGATTTGAGTCCGATCCACTTGAACTTTGTGTAGATAAATTGATAGAATAGAACAGATGCTTTAGCCGACACCAGCTAGTAACTCCAAGAGCATCAGGTAGGTATATATGAACTAGTACCACCACCACATAGCAACTCCCTACGAGTAAACATTGTATTCTTTTTTTGTCTGTATTAGCACTCCTCAAATTTTAATCAATTGACTTACGCAAATAACTACTCTCTTTCTCTAACCAAAATGAAAATAAACAAAACAAAAAAAGCAAACTCTGCCTTCTTTACCCATCATTTCAGGCTTTCCTTATCCTCTTTTGGTAATGCCTTCTTCTTCAGTTTTAGCTTCCTTCACAAAAACAACACTTCAAATTAACTTTTCCTTGCTATCTCATGAACAGCACTTCCAATTCTGATAACCCTTCTGAGGACTCAAACACATATGCATATTACTCTGTTGGAATATCCCTTGCCTTTCTCCTTCTGATGATGTTCATAGCTCTCACTGCATATTACTGTAGCCATAGAAATTTGCAAAACATGCAATCTAGACCCATTGGCAGCAGCAGAAGCAGTTCTAATAGGACAGTGATCATGGATAGAGATTCTGCTATAACAATCCAAGTTGGTGAGGAAGAACAAGAAGCAATCCTGAACAGTTACCCCATGTTGTTGTACTCTCAAGCAAAGCTTCATAAGCCTGATTCAACATCACTCAGCTGCTCAATATGCTTAGCAGATTACAAGGATTCAGAGGGGTTGCGTCTCTTACCTGAATGTGGTCACTTTTTTCATAAGGAGTGCATTGACATGTGGTTGAGGCTAACACTCTCATGTCCCGTGTGTCGAAACTCGCCATTACCAACTCCTCTTCCAACTCCACTTGCTGAAGTTGCTCCCTTGTCAACAAGACGTGATTGAGAAGTAGCAGAAGAATGTGGAATTATCTCAAAAGTGTTAAAAAGGGTATTAATATAGTCGAATAAAATGGAATGTGATTCTTGTATTCTTAGATGGTACACACAGGACATGAAACTGTCGAATGTAATTCCGAATCTTCTTGTATGCTTAGAACATGAACAGAACACTGTCCTTTTAACTTGTTATTTGTCCCCATTTGTTGTAAAAGGAATATTGCACACATACTATACTATGGTCACCCAAGCTCTCATACTATATAAAACAATCATCTCAACCTAATAACTTAAACTATTAGGTGGGTGTGCATGTCACTAAGGGGGTGTTTGGTAGGGGTTTTCCTCTTATATAGCTGGGCAACTTTTATCCGTATTCTTATTTGACCATGTTTGGTACATGGTTTCAACAAATTTTACTAGCAAATTGGTTTCCCCAGCCATTATGATTCTTTTGTAAAAATTGATCAAAAACACTGTTTTAAAAACCCACATGGAGGGTAGTATTTGGGATTTAGATGGGGAAGGGGAAAAGGAGCTATACGCCGGAGACAATAATGACCCTTGTATATATTGTTGAAAGTGGAGTCTCTGTTTTATTTTCTTCTTCGTCATTTTGATTGATTTTGTTCTTCTATTTAAATACCCAATTACTCTTTAACATTGAAAAACAAAAAACAAAAACTGATTTTGTTTTACCTTGTCGTTTTCAATTCTGTTGAAGAATGATAAATGAATTGGGTTGCTTTTGGTGATTAAAATTAAAATTTAAATATTATATATATAAGATTCAAGAGTTGTTTTGGTAATTTAACTCTATTTTTCCATCTATATTTTATCTCACACCAAACATAAATTTTATAAATCTTACCTAATTTGCCCATTAAATTTTTTTCCAACCAAACAACTTTTTTTACATTTTCCTATCAAACTCACTTTCCAACCATTTCCTTATCAATTACATCTCCCTAGTATTCAAATTTTTTTTCCTCAACCAAACACCTGTTAAAGAAAGCATTCCAGGATTATTGTACTTGCATAAGCGCACACATTCAAATAATAATTGGGAATATAATGACCCAAGATATCGTCCCACGGCGAACATATACTTAATGTGAATTACAAATTGTGTAAAGAATGAAAATGAATGCCAAAGACAATTAAAAACATAATCTTGGTTCATATTGCTTTAAACAGCGCGTCGTTATTTATTTTTCAATCTTTCTTCCAAAGGAGGAACAACAGATCATAGGAACAATTAATCGTGAGAATGCAACAGCAAGGAGAAATGTAGTAATTAAATTGAGCAAATTTTAGAACAATACAATGAAATGAAACGTGTAACGTAAGATAACAAAGAAGGAATGGATGTACTAGGCTCAGGACCTCATCTAATAAATTTGTTTAGGTTATTTTTCTTTGTCAATGCTGATTCCTTAAGCTCTTGGGCTATTTGGTATATGAAACCCCGTGTTCTCTTGCGGTTTCGTTCTCAACAATTACACTGTACCATATCTTAATAAATTTGGTAGTCTTTTATTCTTAAGACAACCAGTGAGAGTGTTTCCACACTTTCACCTTCCAACTAATATTCTGAAGTTCAAGATCCCTTCATGATGGAAGTTCCTCTCTCATATTTGTTCAATTTCTATTGATACAAGATATTAAAACACGAAATATCAGAAATTTATTGGATTAAGTAAGTGAAATTCGATTACAGAGATTAATAGCTTTACAGATTATCCATTCCAAATGACAATTAGCTTATGCTTAAAGGTATGATTGAAAATACAATAGAAACATCAACCCCTTGAAATCCCATTAACAGATTCGAGATTCAAGTTGGAGATAAAAGGTAAGAACAGAAAACAAAATATTACATACTTAAAACATAGAAATCAGGGGACAAGTAGGAAAAAGAGAAAACAAAGATGAAAATGAAGAACACTGGTGGTTGTCCGTGAGGGGACTTGTGGGGATGAGAGAAAGGTTCTAGAAAAAAAACTCTATTTTGCCTTCATTTGATCTTCTATTTATAATGATGAATTACTAGCAATTTGGTGAATATTGCAGCTTGTTCCTTCCACTGTTAGATGGGACGTTTCTTCTTCTTGCATCGGATGCATGTAAAATGCTGAGTTGTCCTTGCTTTTCTCTTTCTTGTAACAATCTCTGAGCATGTCAGAATTATTCCCCTCTATTACAATATATCACAAGAAAGAATGAAAAGCAAATAAAAAATACCAAATGTGATATTATCGACAGGTCAAGAACCGCGGTTCAACCGGTGACCTGGTGGACCGGTTTTATAGTTCAACCCTGTTTTAGGAAAAATATTTTCAATGTTGCAGCATGAGAATGCCTAACAACAACTTACCACTCGGCTGAGTTTGCTTGTTAGTTAATATGCACCATTTAATATATATATATATATATATATATATTATCATTTAATAGAATTATTTCAAAATAGCATTTAGTGAGAATTGAACCCTTGTTATGAAGATATAAATTATAGTCTTTATTACTAAAATACATTGGTTCTTACTTCACTTGCACCATTTAAAATATTTATTATATAATTGAGTATAAAATATAAATTTATATATATATATATATCCGATTCATGCGGTTGAACCAGTGATCCACTGGTTGAACTAGTGACCCACTGACCCGGTACTCCAACAGAGTCAATCACCGATCCGGATTTAATAATATTGTGTGATATATTGTAATACCCTCATCCTTTGTGTCTTGGTGCCATGATTGCAATGTTAGTGGGTGCCATTTTGTAGTACCTTGCAAAAAGCAAAATATAAGAATGAGTGAATTAAAAAGTAACCAACAATATAGCTCATTTTTTCCTTTTCTTTTTCCCTCACTTTTTCACATTCACGCCTCGTTTATTTACTGAGATCAAAATTTACTGTATTTTCACCATTATTTACTAAATTATTTAATGCTGGAACGTAAAATAGCAGTATTCCATCAACCGGAACGCTTTAAATGGGGCTGGAACGCAGTCTCATCAATAATTTTTATATTATATTTATATAACATGTGCCATGGGATTTAACTATATAGCTAACATTTTCTACATGTATGCCTCTCCTTAAGAACTTTTCTGTTTATAGAACCGCCTTCTAACTTCTATAGCCAGGATAGTATCTTCTTCACTGACATTTTTAATCTAGAATTTTGAAGTGAGATATTTCTAAGTTTCTTGTTGGGTAATATATTTTCTTAATAAATTTCTTTGCCATTACATGACAGCACTCTCTTAAGGGAGCTTGACAAATTCTATTTCTGTTAGATTGCTACAGCCACAACTAACTACTTTTCTATTAAGCATTTTCGTCCAACACTAATGAATTCATTTTTATCACTAATAAGTAGAGTGAGAAGTGACTTGAAGTTGGCCAAGTCGTACTAACTTAATTAGATTAGTTCCATGACTATAAACTTAACTTGTTAATAAAATAAATTTAATTTCTTGATTTAAGCTAGCTCGATGAGTTAGAGTCAAGTTTTATATTTATTTTTTTAAATGCCTATATATTTTAATCTAATTTTTTTAATAACATAAAAATTTATATCAAATGCATATATATATATATTAAATTTTAAAAAAAAAATATATAATTCAATGCGTGTAGCGCACTTAACAACGTAAGGTAAACAGGTTGAAAGAAAATCTAAATTTGATTCACGTAAGGTATCCGGGAATACTTTAGAGGCTGACTCGACTCAAAGATATAATTAGGGTTGGTAATATATATATATATATATATATATATATATATATATATAATATAATTAAATTAAAAATATCACACATATATATATATATATGGGTTTTATAAGAGTTATGTTGTAGGAAAAGTGATTGTGTTATGTTATAGAGATTCGTTTTGCGTGCCGAAGTTTTTTTTTTTTTTTGCTGCGGGCCCCACAAAATGTTGTGAGTGTAGGAAAATTTTTGTGGTCATGTTAAATGATAGATGATAAACCCTATATATATATATATATATATATTATGAGTTAATAAATTAAATATAAAAAGTCAGGCTCAGTTCATTAGTTAACTTGTTAATCTGATCAATTAAATTATGCATAACCTCGAGAAGCGATGTCATGTCTCATGCCCCCTAAATTTTCTTGTCTTTACACGTGATTTTTAAAAATAAATAAAACTTCGTTTAGCTTGGCCTCTTTTAAATAAAGTGATTTTTTCTTTCTTTCTTTTCCCTCTCTCTGCATGTCTTTCTCAAGAAAATTCTGTAGTTCCTGCGATAAATTGTTTGCACACTCGTAGCTGCCTTAAACCTTTTTGAAAGAGGATATGAAGGATATATGGAGATTTTCGCTACAAATTCACGCTAAATATAATTTGCATAATTATTAACATTTGTATTGTGGTCCACTTGAAAAGACACTGAAAATAATAAGTCAAGGTGAGCCTCCCCCTTTCGAGGCAGAAAAAATATTTGTGTAAATTTTTTTTTGGTAAATATGTGTCAATTTTCTTTGTACAAGATTGATAAATTCAATTAATAATAATAAATGTAAATAAATAATTACATAATTTTATGCCATGTAATAATTTATTAATTATCGATTATTTTAATTTATTCAATTTTGTCTTGACAAAACCTATATAATTTTTTTCCCCCAAATAAGTTATTCTACTTTTGTTATAACCAATGACAATGTTATTAAATTCGGATCAGTTATCGACTTGATTAGTGTATCCAATCAATTAATCATTGGTTGAACCATTTAAATTAAATTTATGTACTTTTGCAAAAAAAATAAATTAAATTTATGTAAATATATATAAAAATGGGAAAAAAAGAGTGCAAGCTTATGTCATTTTAGCAATTTTTAACTATGCATTCACAGAAATACATAATTGTAATATTAAAGTTGTATTTTTTTCTCTATCAACAGACAACTTATGAAAGAAAGAAAAAAAATATAACTTTAATATTATAACGATACATTTTTGAAAATGCATAATTAAAATCAATATAATTAAACTTGAAAAGACCTTACCAGGTCGACTCGAATTCCGATGACCCAGGGGAGTGACCGGTTCGAGTCACCATTCGGTTAAGGTATGTGGCCTCTAAAGACTTGTCCGACTCACCCGATTTTTTCGGGGGTCTGATGAACCGATGCATTTTCATTGCATGGTTACCACGAGCGTCGAAGCCAATGCAAAAACAGAAGCAGAAGCGGATGTGGCACTCGCTAATGCACAAAACAACAAAGAGAGGTTGAAGCTCAAAGAACTCTTCGAACAAGCCTACGAGAGATGTCGCACTGCTCCCATGGAAGGTGTTTCCTTCACCCTTGACCAATTCACTAACGCTCTCGAGAAGTATGATTTCGATTCTGAAATTGGGACCAAGGCAAATTCCTTTCTTTCCCTCTATTTTATCACAAAGTTACCAACTTTATCACTGTATGATATAGTTTTTGATGAATTAATCGCTGTTGGGTTTTTGTTTAATTTTCTATTTACTTAGAATTTCAGAATTTCAGACATGTTTTGATTGAAGATGAAAAAGGGTGCTGTTGAATTAAATTTGTTGCTTTGTGTATGGATGTGAATGTTTACCTGATTTGTCCGTGTCAATTGTTAATTGGTTGTGTATATGAAGAAGACAAACAAGGTGATTGTAGTTTAAGGGAATCTATTGGATTGAGATTTCAAAGGATTTTAATGAATTATTTTTGGACAAAAAAATTCATTGGTATTTAATAAGGATTTTAAAAGATTGAAAAAGCCACGTGGTATTCGATTAAGATTTTAAAAGATTATTTCAGAGTTCGTCCAAATTTGTTGGTGTTCAATCAGGATTTTAAACAAAGGAAAAACAATCTCGTGATATTCAAAAATCTGACGATTTTAATGAATTTTCTATTGGTGTGGATTTCGTGAGACTTTTTAGTGAGAAATATAAATAAGATGTCTCTCTCACAATCTTACTATAACCCTGAGATTTCTCTATTGTAGTGTCTCACAATATACTATATATAGCCTTTTCTCAAAGTCAATGTATGTTCTTTTTTGACTTTCATATATTTTCTTAGGTTTTGGTATTCCTTCTTCATGATTAATAATGCGATTCATTTTTATTTTTTACCAGAGTTGTATAGAGTTGACGATAAACAGGTATGTGCTCATATCTTCAATTTGAAATTGAACTAATAAGCTTACCATATACTAGAACGGGCCAACTCGGCTTGACCCGGCCTAACCCGTTTCCAACCAAAAAAAAAAGAGTTGGGTTAGGGTTGTCTCAAAAAAAGAATGAGCCAGAAAATCCAACCCAACCTGACCCGAGCCGAGTGAGGGTTGACTCACAGGTTGGCTCAAAAAAATGGAAAAAAAAATAGCCTTTGTCACACTCACACAGTACATGTGGTGGGAAAGCTAAGGAAATGTTTTTCATTTGATATAAGATATTTACTGCAAAGGAAAACATTTAATATAAGATATTTAGTTGTTGAGTATAATTAATTTAATAAGTTACAAGACCAACCAGCAACCACAGTGTATGCATTTAGAATTTAGCCTTTAGGTTTCAACTTTTTTTGAACAGATCTGACCCCCTTATTATTCTTTTGTATTTTTTAATAAAAAAAAGATAACCCGCGAGTTGACCCTTTTGACCCGCGGGTTAGCTCGATTTTTTTTTTTGAGCTGGCTCAGGTTGTCAGCTCATTTTTGCCAATCCAACCCGACTCATTTTATGCAGGTTATGAGCCAACCCGACGGGTTGGCTCATTTTTTCCATCCCTACCACGTACATTCTTTGTAACCTTATTCTTTTCTATATTGTTTGGATTATAATGAGCATAAAATCCTAATATTCTTCGTGTTTGGCAATGATACATATTAAAATCATAATAATCCAGTGGCAAGCTCTATCAAATATATATATATATATATATGTATGCATGTATATATATATTTGTGTGTGTGTATATATATATATATATATATATATATATATATATATAGGTTTTTAAAGTTTGACACCTTATCTAAGAGTCATTAAGTCAAAAAAGATCGACGATTCTAATTTATAAGCATATGACACCATTAATCTTTTTTAATCTAACAGCTCTCAGATGAGATGTCAAACTTTAAATTTAACACCGGAATCAAAAGATCCTCTCCCATATATATATATATGTGTGTGTGTGTGTGAGTGTATGTATGTTGTCTAGACACACACACAGACACACAAGAGCACATACATATTTAATGAGCATCGTCTGCAATTTGTATATGTATCTAATCTCAATTAGAGACAAAAATATATGTGCTCTATTTTTTTAAGCATGTGTTCTATTTTTTTCCCTACATAATCATTAGCTTGTTTAATCCTTTTTTTATTGTTTGTTGATTGAACTATTTAACGTTGGTTTGCTTTACTCATTTGAATAAACTTTTTTTAAATTGTGATGATATTAATCTCATTTAAAATTGTTTTAATTATTGTCTAGTTTTTATTTTATTACAGTAAATGGGGGATTTACAATAAGAAAATAAGGAAGGAAAGGGAAAAGAGAAAGAGAACTATAAATCTTGGACCATGCATGATACTAATAAGTTGTTGCACCTCTTGGTGGATGCTATCAACAATGCATTGCGAGCAAAATGTAGAAAGAGCAATACTTCATCATCTTAATGCAAAGACTAGGTTTCCTAAAACTTATACTCATTACTTGAGTCAGCTAAAGTGGTTGAAGAACCAATATAACAAAATGTCGACGATTATGCGTAACAACTCTGGCTTTGGGTGGGATACAATTACAAAGACGTTCACGACTAGTGATGAAGTTTAGGAAGATTACTTGAAGGTGAGCTTGTTAGTTCATTATTTTTTAATATATTAATATCTTACTAGATTAGTACATTACATTATTTGTAATATATTAACAATGACAAATTTGTTATTTGCCAGTCTCATCTAATTCACAGTAAGCTTCGTGAAAAAAGTGCAATTGATTATGAAGAATTGAAGATTGTCTTTAGTGGTGCAACTGCTACTGGGAATGGTTCCATTGCATTAGGCACTAATGATACCGATGCTACAACTTTTGGAGAAAAAAAATAGGGATTCCTGGATGGAAGACTAGGTGTATGATCCTATCAATGATGCCTTCATAGCACCAAATCACTATGAACCACTTGACCATTCTCCATCACCCCATCAATGTAGTCCACCATCTCATTCCCCTTTAGATTCGGAGGTTCTCTTTAGATATGTGGACGATGTTGCTTAGTAATTTTGAATGTTTGTTTAAAATTATATTAGATTTTACTAAATAAGAAAATTATATTAGGTTTTACTTTTTTTTTATTAATTCATTGCATTTCTTTGTTATTTTTTATTGACTCTTGTAATTTTGAATGTTTGTTAAAATTCATATGATTTTTTAAAATCTTATAAATCAATATTGTTCTTTCAAATATTATAAATTCTATTAAAATTCTTTAAAATCAAATCTTATGAAATCTTGATTGTAATTTTTTTTTTTTAAAAAGTCTTTAAAGTTCATCCAATTCTAATAGTCTTTTAAAATCTATATGATTTTTTATTTTAAAAAAGTATTTTAAAATCATAATCCAATACACTCCTCTAAAGCTTGCACATTTTACTCTTTTGTTTTTTTTTCTTGGAAAAGTTCCTAGAGGTAATCTAAATAGATCGGTGATGTTTGCTAGTTATGTTTTAGGTTAAGGGCACTGTATTTGGTACAAATGCAGGTCGAGCTTATGTTGAGACAACTTTGGTACCATGGGCATAATGACCGAGTGCATTTTTTTTTTTTATCTATTTTTTCTTATTTTGTGTAATTTATTGATTAATTATAAACTTGTAAAAATGTGATTGAGTAATTTTTGAGCTTAATTAGTGAATTTTATTTAACTCATTTTAGATATGGAGAGTATATTTAAATTTATATGTTTATATATATATATATATATATGGGTCAACTGGTCCAACCAGTAACCCAATGACTCAGTACCTCGACCAGGTCGACGGCCAGGTCAGGTTTAATAACACTTGTTAAAACTACTAAAATGACATAATTGATGTTCCTTAAAAAGACACTCACTAAACTCATAATAAATATATATAAAGAGGTAATATGTTCTTGACTGGATTACATGCATGGCCAGTTAATTAACTGAACTGGATCGATTAATGATCTAATTCGCAGTTCAATCGGACCAACTGGCCAGGTCGAGTCGATTTCATTAATAACACTTATTATAAATATTATAATAGATAAAAATGAATTTACGTGGCTATAAAAAAAGTCAAATTAAGTTAATGCACTTCTTATGAGAATTAATGCAGAATCAAAATATTGCCTAAGTAGTAGCATCAAAAGCTGATTTTAAATGTTTCAACTTGTAAGACGCAGTCCCGTACACGCAATGTTGGTATTTTAAAATGTAAAAGTATTGTTGAACTTAGTTTAAATTATATGATTTTGGCTTCAAATATTGGCTGCTCTAATGTATTATTCTTCTAATTTGTTCAATATATAATAATTCAGAAACAATTGGATCGATATACAGTTGTCATATACTTAAACATCTATAGAATTTAGGTTTGCATAAAGTCGTTGTCATGTCCCTTTATCCTACACCACATTGAAATTTCTCGTAGAAAGAAAAGCCAACCAAAAAATAACATTAAAATAAAAGACCAAGGTTAATGTATTGAATGCGAAAAGGACATAAACGTTGACCACCAAAGTTATATTGCCTAGTCAGATTCTTAATTAAATCTGGTGACTTCGTTAGTTAATAAGGTTCCATATTCCTCCAAATCGATCCCACTCTAAAATTTCATTGAAGATGAACAAGAACCTTGGGAACCAACAACAACAACAACAACAACAACAACAACGGGGATATTGATGCAATGGTGTTCACATATGCCATAGCATTTGTAGTTGGGTTAATGTTCGCAATTCTCACAATAGCTTTTGCGTGTGTGAGGCTTCGAATGACTCGCACCCCCAACATACTAAGTATTTTGGCTGGTATTCCACCATCTCATCATCAAGCAGGAGAATTAGGCATAGTTGAAGATATGGAACAAGGTCTTCATCTTAATCATAATCATAATCATGATATTGACACAAGTTTTGATAGCTACCCCAAGTTGTTATACTCAGAAGTAGAGAAGAATAAAGATGGTTATTCGAGCTGCTCCATCTGCTTAGGCGATTACAAAGAAACTGACATGTTGAGGTTACTTCCTGATTGTGGCCATCTCTACCATCTTGATTGTGTTGATCCATGGCTCAGGTTACATTCCACATGTCCCATTTGTCGAAAATCTTCGGTTCAAACTCCTCGCTCTAGTGCCTCCATTGTTGGGGAATCCGCTACTATCCCTGTTGTGTAGATGTTCACAAAGAAAAGAGGTTCAATCCAATCACTTCTTTCTCTCTCTCTATATATATATATATGCATGTTTAGCTAGATTTATTTATTTATTTTTAATAGAAATATATAGAATCATTTTAAAGTTATAATTTTAATCTGATAGAAGAATCCTTAATATAATCAAGAGATCCTTGATTATGAATTCAATATCTTTAAAAAAAAGTCATAATTTTTGATGAGGGTGAAGAGATTCAAACTTAGACTTAGGATATCAAACATCAGTTGAAATAAATAAATAAATAAATAAATCCTTTAATATAGGACGACTTGGTTTAAGAGTCCTTCGTTAAAAGTAGAAGATCAAATCATGTTCGAAAATATATAATCTTCCTTGATTATTTTTCAGATGGTAAAAATGCAAATTGCTCTCTCACCTTTTTCTTGTGCGACCAATCCCAAAACTGGTGGCGGTGTATTCAACGAACTTGCCTAGTTAATGATTATTTTCTCTCTTTCTAGTTTATAAGCATTCAGGGGCCATTTTCTTTTGCGTGCTCTGTATGGTGGGGCAACAGCGATGGTTACTATATAATATATTGATGACTTCGACGACATTAGTTAGATATATCTGTGAATTGAAGTGTGAGGTAAATAAGCCATAGTGAGCAAGTGGGAATGTGGGACCCAAGTTAGAGCCATGCCACGTATTCTTAGGCCAAAATGGTTTCACACCTAACTATTCGTTAATGGGCTGGAATTCTAGTATATTGTATATAGATCCCCTCTGATTGGCCTTTTAAAAAAAAACTATCTTTCCTGTCTTCTTTATTTTAGAAGTAATTTTTATAAAAGTTAAAGTTATTTATATTTTTAAAAAAAATATTTGACTTTTAATTTCTAATTTTTTATAAGCTAAAATTTTTAGCTTTAAAAAAAGAGAGTAAATTTTTGATTTTTTTGTGACTTCTACTTTTTTTAAAACAGACATCAAAACGAACTAATAATAAAAAGTGTTTTTTTAAAAAGAGAGAGAGAGAGAGAGAGAGAGAGAGAGAGATAGAGAGCAGTTTTTAGAGAAAAAAGTTAGGTTGGAACTTAGTATGGTTAAGCACTATGTAGCACCGATACTGACACGGGAAACGTGACACGATACGACACGACACTCCGACACGTTAATTTTAAAAAATGTTAGATTTCGACACGTTAGGACACGTTTTGATATTAAATAATATTTTTAATTTATGTAGTGTATATTATATTTAATATTCAATAATTTAACAAAAAAATGAAACTAAACTTATAATATTCATCAATTTTGCAAAGAAACATAAGATATCACAAATATTTATATTAAACTCAATAAAATGGTAATCGAAATTTAACGAATCTAATAGTTGAAACTAAAAACTCAACGCAACGCAACCTTTCAACCTTTTTTTTAAATTTCTATAACACGTGTTAGAGTGTCGGGGAGTGTCGGAGTGTCGGACACGACACGTCAGAATTTTTGAAGTGTCGGTGCTTCAAATAAGCATATCAGTATTGTTGCCTATTCTGAATATATATATATATATATATATATATATATATATATATATATATATATAAAAGGATAGATTATTATTATTTTTTCTGTCTACCTTTGCTATTACTCTTCAACATCGTTAGATCATAATCTCAACTACCTTTATCATTTCTCTTTTCTATTGAGATTTTGATCTAATGGTGTTAGAGGGTGGTAGGCAAAGATAAGCAAAATAAAAGGTAGGTAGAATAACCTATATATATATATAGGGATTTGCATCTATCATGTCACATGACACAAAAAAGTTTTCTACACACACAACATTTTGTGGGGCCTGCACTTTTGAAGCAAAATAAAATAAAATTAAGGCACGCAAAACGAATCTCTATAACATTACACAATCACTTTTCCTACAACATAACTCTTATGAAACCCATATATATATATATATGGGGATGGTTCTTTTGACTCCAGAGTAAGACTTATAAGTTGGAGTTGGAGTTAGATTATTACTCAGTGATTGTGAAACTTCTGGGGAAGAAAGTTGGAGTTAGATTCTTACTCAATCGTTTACTGAGAATGTGGAATATCTCAGGCACATATGAGTTCATTGATCTGGAGAATGACTACTTTTTGTTCCGATTTTCAAATAAGAATGATTACTCTCATGTTTTGGAGGATGGTCCTTGGATCATAGCTGATCATTATGTGGTAGTTCAACGGTGGCGTCCATTTTTTAATCCTTATGATGATGAGATCATAAAGCTGGCAGTTTGGATTCGTATTCCAGGACTTCCTATTGAATTCTATACCTCTCATCATTTGTGGAATATAGGTAGTTTTTTTTTTTTTTGTAAATATAGGTAGTATTTTTGGTCGCACATTGAAGATTGATAGGAACTCTATCAGGAAACGTGATTCTGGTGAAGGTGATATTACAGAGAGAGCAAAGTTTGCTAGAATTTGTGTCGAAGTTGATCTTAGGAAAAGCTTTTTGTCCAAATTCCGGATTGCTGATCGTATCTTCCATGTTGGATATGAGGGTCTCCACTTAGTTTGTTTTGCTTGTGGAAAGTATGGGCATAGAAGGGATCAGTGTTCCCATAGTAATCTTCAACAAGATACTACGGTTTATTCTCCTGAAGTTTCTGACTCGGTGGTGCGTAAGCAGCCGGAAAAAGATTTTGTTCCGGCGAAGGAGGAACCGTTTGGGAATTGGATGCTAGTGCAGCGTAACCGTCGATCAAGGAGCATAACACAATCAAAGGAGGAATCAAGGAGCATAGCACAATCAAAGGAGGAATCAAGGAGCATAGCACAATCAAAGGAGGAATCATTACCATCGGGTAGGAGACAAGTTGGCGTTGTTAATAATGCAGCGTTACGTAATAAGGCAGTTTCCAATTCTCATCCTAATCACAGACAGGTCATTCAATCAGGTTCAAGATTTCAAGCTATTGCTGAGTTGGCTCAAAAGGATAATAATATCTTAATTATTTCTGATTCTCCAGTAATTGATTCAATCAGCATTGAATCTGGCCTGACACAAATTAATCATGGGGAATTAATTGCTCATAATGAAGAACCGTTGGTGAAAAAGGATATTCAAATGGAAACAGTTTCTCCATCTGCTAACCTATCCGCGGGCAAGTCGAGAAAAGAGGTCCAAAGTCAAGGAGTAAAATTCAAAGAGAACCAAAAGAAGAAAGCAACTGCATCATCTGCTAAAGTTCATCAGCTGGTCCAGAATGCTAATATTAGCAAAGACAGATTAAATGCTTCAAAAGGTTCAGAATCTCAAAAGAATAATTTTAAACTTGATTCTCAGAAGAATATGTCGGAGGATTTCCAAGATAGACAAATTGTCTTGCACCCTTCTTTATCTAAATTCCAGAGGAAGACGTCTCATGTGGTTAATGATCAGCAAGAGACTCTTCCTTCTTCTAGTGGCTTGGATAATGGAGGTAAACATGGAAGACCACCAGATGCTCTTACGTTAATGAGGAATTTTTATCAAACTCACAAGGATTCTATCCCTTTGGATAATTTGGACGTTTTGGGTGCGACTTCGGTCTATACCAATGCTCTTTCTTAGGGCCAGTTTCTGTTCGGATAAATTTAAGATTGTTTTTATGAATATTTTGACCTGGAATTGTAGAGGGGCTGGGAAAAGGAGTTTTCCGCCTCTAATTCGGGATCTTTCTCATAGATACATTATTAAAGTTATGGCTTTGTTAGAAACCAGATTGAGTGGTGTTATGGCGGATAGAGCTATTCGGCGTCTTGGTTTTTCTGGTCACTTTCATCGTGATGCTGTTGGTTTTTCTGGCGGTATTTGGGTGCTTTGGAACACTGATGAAGTTTCAATGGATGTTCTTTTTTCTCATCACCAACTTGTCCATACTAAAATTTGTTGGGTAAAAGAAAATAGAGAGGAGTTCATGACTTTTATTTATGCAAGTCCGCGAAGACAGGAACGTATTCAGCTGTGGGAAATTCTGTCTTCACTGTTTGATCAGTCCATGAGGAATGCAGCTTGGGGGATAACAGGTGATTTTAACACTTATTTGTATGAGTATGAGAAGCTAGGTGGTAATGGGCATAACTGGAATAGCATGAGGGAATTTCGTGATTGTTTAGATGAATGTAGTTTGTCTGACATTGGCAATCAAGGTCCTATTTTCACTTGGCAAAGAAGAAATCTTCAGGAACGTCTTGATAGGGTTTGCGCTAATGATAATTGGAACTTGTTTTCCCTAATCGTGTGGCTTTCAACTTGCCTTTCTTTGGCTCAGATCATCGACCAATGTTATTATGGGAAGGTCAACCTGCTATTTATCCGAGAGGGGAGCGTCCTTTCCGTTTTCTAGCGTCCTGGTTAACAGAGAGCACTTTTCATGAGGTGGTTAATGGATGTTGGTCAAACAATGTAAACTGGATGCATGCTATGGAGACATTTCAGATTAATGCTTCGGAATGGCATATAAATGTTTATAGGATTGCTCTGAAAAGAAAGAATGATTTGCATGCAAGGATTAGAGGTATTGATAGATGTCTTAGTTATCAGTACAGTCATAACCTTGAGATGTTGCAAAAGGATCTATGGAGGGAACTAGACAAGATTTATCTTCAAGAGGAAATTACTTGGTTTCAAAGATCGAAATTGAATTGGTTTGCTATTGGAGATAGGAACTCACGTTTCTTTCATTTTGTGACGGTTGCCAGACGTAGGAGGAATCGCATAGATACGTTGAAAAACTAGGAGGGAGTTTGAATTGGTGATCAACAGGTTTTAATGGAAATGGTTGTTTCTTTCTTTGAAAATCTATACACAAAAGATCCATTACCTAAACTGGCTTTTCCAGTTCGTGGCTTTTTTCCAGTTATTGAAGTGCATGCTTTAGACACGATGAGTATTATGCCAAACAGTAAGAAGATCAGAGATGTAGTCTTCTCTTTTGGTCCATACAAGTCGCCTGGGAAGGATGGGCTTAATGCTCTTTTCTTTCAATCTCAGTGGGATAAGGTGGGTGAGTCAGTTATCTCTTTTGTGAAAGGTGTGTTCCTTCATCCGGATAATATCAAAGAGGTTAACCAAACTTTGATTTGTCTGATTCCTAAGATTGATGTGCCTGAATTACTTAAAGATTTCAGACCTATTAGCCTTTGTAATGTTATTTACAAGACTGTAACTAAGATTGTGGCTAATAGGCTGAAATTTCATATGGCTCACTTTGTTATGCCTAATCAATGTGGTTTTATTAAGGGTAGACAAGGAGCGGATAATCTCATTGTGGCTCAGGAAATCATTCATTCCATGAATAAAAAGAGAGGAGGTAAGAGTTGGATGACTGTCAAAGTTGATTTAGAAAAGGCTTATGACAAGATTTCTTGGGAGTTTTTGAAAGACACGCTTGTGGATGTTGGTTTGCCTGAGAATATTATTTCTCTGTTCATGTGTTGTGTCTCGTCATGTACAATGAATTTGTTATGGAATGGATCAACTACGACAAAATTTTCTCCTAATCAAGGTCTTCGTCAGGGAGATCCTTTGTCTCCTTATCTTTTCATCCTTTGCATGGAAAGACTTGCTCATTTGATTAATGTAGCAGTTCAAGAGGACGTTTGGAAGCCTATCAGATTGAATAGAAGGGGACCACTGCTTTCCCATATATTTTTTGCAGATGATCTTCTGCTCTTTACAAAAGCCACAGAAGGGCAAGCTGTTATTATTAATAAGATTCTTGATTGTTTTTGCAGGTGCTCTGGTGAGAAGGTTAGCAAGGAAAAAACAAAAGTCTTCTTCTCCAGAAACGTTAATCATACCCGAGTGCAGAATCTAAGCCAGTTGATGGGCTACTCTCCTACAAATGACTTGGGTAAATACTTGGGTATTCCTCTTCGTCATAGCCGTGTTACAAAGAGTACGTTTGGCTATATCTTAAATCGGATGCAAGCTCATTTAAATGCCTGGAATCAACGTACTCTTTCATTGGCAGGAAGATCAACTTTGGCTAGGTCAGTTCTTACTGCAATTCCTCAATATCCTATGCAAACTTGTATTATTCCTAGTGGTACGTGTGATCGTATTGAGAGTGTAACTAGGAATTCCATTTGGGGATCAACTTCTGAACGAAGGAAAGCTCACCTGGTTTCTTGGGAGACGGTCTGTTTGTCGAAGAATGTAGGGGGGCTTGGTTTTCGTAAAATTAAAGAGAATAATATGGCTTTTATCATGAAGCTAGGTCACCGAATCATGACTGATCGTAATTCGTTATGGGTTCAGGTCCTTCGTAGCAAGTATAAGGTGGAGGAAAGGCTCATTCCAAGTATCTCGGCTTCCGCAAATGATTCTGGTTTATGGAAGGCTATTGTTAAGTATTGGCCTCAAACTCTAGAGAATTCTCGTATCATTTTAGGGGATGGGGTTCATACGTCTTTTTGGATGGATTCGTGGGTGCCAGGATGTCCTCAACTTGTTTCTCTGGCCGTTCAACCTATTCCTCCTATTATGACTCATTGGTCTACGTCTCAATTTGTAACTTGTTATGGTAATTGGGACTGGCCTTTATTTCAGCACCTTCTTCCTACTTCAGTATTGGACAAGATTCGTAGTGTGCTCCCTCCTACAGTGGATCCTTCTCCGGACCGTGTTATTTGGGCAGGTAGCCAAGATGGGGTTTTTTTCAGTGAAATCAGCTTATAACTATCTCATGGGTACCTCGCATTATCATCAGGATAGGATTTGGAAGGTAATTTGGGCTTGGCCTGGTCCTGAACGTATTAGACAATTCTTATGGCTTCTCTACAGAGGTTCTCTTTTAACTAATGTTCATAGAGTGCATCGTCACATGGCTACAGATGCAGGGTGTCTGAGATGTCATTATAATCTTGAGGATAGTTTACATGCCATTAGAGATTGTCCTGGTGCCAGGGAATTATGGGAGCATTGGGTTCCTTCTGATAACCGTAGTGACTTTTTCTCCATGGATCTTCACCTATGGATTCAGACAAATCTAGGATTAAAAGGTCCGTTTCAAACTGATCGAACTTGGCCTTTGTATTTTGGGGTGATAGCTTGGTGTTTGTGGGGGGAAAGAAATAAGGCGATCTTTGATCAAACTATCACCTCGAAGTATGGTCTCATTAGGCGCATTACCTATACTTGTGGTAATATTCAATTGGCTAATGAAACCCTTATTAAGATTGGTCATCAGGAGCTTAGGAGAGAGGAACGTCTTATTCACTGGAATTTTCCCTCTGAGGGTTATGTTAAACTTAATGTGGATGGTTCCAGTATAGACAGTGGGCAAAGGACTGCATGTGGTGGAGTCATAAGGGATGCTGCTGGGAACTGGTTAACTGGTTTTACAAAATTCCTTGGGAGTGGTACTTCTACTTCAGCGGAAATTTGGAGGTTCTTGACAGGTATGGATCTGGCTTGGCATAATGGATTTAGGAGAGTCTTTGTGGAGGGTGACTCCAAGGTGGCTTTGGAATTTTAAGAAAAGGGTGTGACGTAAGTCATCCTCTTTCTGCTTTAATCATCCGAGCTCGTAGCATGCTTCAAAGAGACTGGATTATTCAGCTTAGTCATACTTATAGAGAAGGCAATTTTGTTGCTGATTGGCTTGCTACTCATGCACCTCATCAGGATGGACAGCTGATTGTGCTGGATGTCCCTCCAACGACTTGTTTGGAATTGCTTCGTAATGACTTGAGGGGAGTTAGTCTCCCAAGATTGTGCCCAGTATATGGCTTTTTTTGATGTTGCTTTAGTTTTCATTGTATTTCCAAAAAAAGAGAGTAAGACTTACAATTTCCGCTGTTGATGGACGGAAATCAACGGTTGTCATTAATAGTGTAATTAATAATTAATTAAATAATATAACTTCCTAAATTATAACCGTTGGATGGACTGAAATCAACAGTTAGGATGGAGAGTAAGACTTAAAAGTCTTACTCTAGGGTATATATCTCCCCTATATATATATATATATATATATATATATATATATATATATATATATATATATATGAGGTAGAATCCTTTGACACCTCATCTAATAACTGTTAGATCAAAAAAGATCAACGACTCTGATTTGTAAGCATGTGACACCATTGATCTTTTTTGATCTAATGACTATCAGATGAGATGTCAAATTTTAAATTTGACACTGGTGTCAAAGGATCCTACCCCTCTCTCTATATATATAGGGTAAATATTTCTACAGCCACTTTAGATAACATTATCTACAGCTACCCAAAAATTACGTCGTTTTGATTAACGAAGGGTGTTTCTGTAATTTTAGGTGAATTAATGGAGGGTGTTTTCGTAATTTTGTTTATTTTTTTATCAAATACATTTTATTGAAACACTCTTTAGTAATTCACCTAAAATTACAGAAACACCATTCGTTAATCAAAACGACATAATTTTTGGGATAGCTGTAGATAACCTTATCTCAAGTGGCTGTAGAAATGTTTTTTTCATATATATATATATATATATATATATATATATATAGGGGACAATAATTTGACATCAAATTCTAACCGTTGATTTTCGTCAATCAACAATTATCATTTATTGGGAATCAAATCTATTAATTAATTATTAATTTCAAATAAATGATAATCGTTGATTGATGAAAATCAACGGTTAGAATTTGATGTCCAATTTCAAAGTTTGACTTCGGTATCAAAAGATCATATGTGTGTGTGTGTAGGGGGGCAAGATCATTTGACATTGGTATCAAATTAAAAGTTTGACACCTAATATGAGAGTCATTAGATCAAGATAGATCAACGGTGTCATATACTTACAAATAAGAGTCATTAGATAAAACAAGATCAACAACTCTCATATATAAGGTGTCAAACTTTTTATTTGATACAAACATCAACAACTTTCAAATCAAATAAAGTATAAATGCAAATTCTTATATCTCCTAATGTCCTCGAAGTCTATATATATATATATATATATATATATATATATATATATATATATATATATATATATATATATATATATATATATATATATATATATATATATATATATATATATATATATATATATATATATATATATATATATATATATATATATATATATATATATATATATATATATATATATATATATATATATATATATATATATATATATATATATATATATATATATATATATATATATATATATATATATATATATATATATATATATATATATATATATATATATATATATATATATATATTATATATATATATATATATATATATATATATATATATATATATATATATATATATATATATATATATATATATATATATATATATATATATATATATATATATATTAGGATCCTTTGACACCGGTGGTCAAAGGATCAACGACTCTGATTTGCAAGCATGTGACACCATTGATATTTTTTGATCTAACGGCTCTCAGATGAGGTATCAAACTTTAAATTGACACCGGTGTCAAAGGATCCTACCTCTATACAGTGGCGGAGCCAGGATTGGAGGAGAGGGGGGGCAAAAATTAATTTTTTATCTTAACATTTAACAACATTTGAAACACTAAAAAAATGTACTATTGGTCGGGTCCAACAGATATAAAAAGTAGTTTAAAAAGAAATAATTAAAAAAAAAGAGTGTCTTAACTAAAACAATGCTTTTAACTATATTTTTTTAAAAAATAAAATAAAAGACGGCAATCAAGTTGTCCCAAAAAATGAATCTTTT